CCATCCATCCATCCATCCATCCATCCATCCATCCATCGAATTTCCAATCCGCTTATCCTCAGGGGGGGGGGGGGGGGGGGGGGGGGGGAGAGGTGGAGCCTATCCCAGCCGTCTTCGGGCACTAGGCAGGGGACACCCTAAACCGGCTGCCACCCAATCGCAGGGCACACATAGACGAACAACCGTCCACGCTCACACTCACACCTAGGGACAATTTTGAGTGTTCAATCAGCCTGCCGTGCATGTTTTTTTGGAATGTGGGAGGAAACCGGAGTACCCAGAGTAAACGCACACAGGCCCGGGGAAAACATTCAAACTCCACACAGGGAGGCCTGAGCTGAAATTTAACCCGGTACCTCTGCACTGTAAGGTTGGCGTGCTAACCACTGGACCTCCGGCCCGCCTATATGCTGTCAATGTACATTATTTTAGTAATTTGCTAAACTTCTATTGTTTCCTCTGTGATGCTTCTGAATGTCATGAGCTGTTGTGTTTGTAAACGCTTTTCGGTGCTGTGTTTTTGCACACTGAGTTGCCTCTGTATGTAAATAAAGCTACTTTGCCTTCCCTTGCCTGAAATAACCTTGTGGTATCTTGAGCAAATATCCACAGAAAAATGTTTTTTCTGGCTTGGAATGATTTGGATTGGGTGATATAGTCGGTATGGTTCTTACCCAGAGATGATGGGGCTCTGACCTGAGCCTTGTCCACCTGGACAGCCGAACAGCTACTTTTTGGATCCAGTGTGTTCAAAAATATCTAACAGGACCTCCAGACGTAGTGTTGTGAGACATGGCCAGGTGCAGCTCGCTGTGTGTGTGTGTGTGTGTGTGTGTGTGTGTGTGTGTGTGTGTGTGTGTTTTGGAGGACAGTGGGGGGGTGGAGTGGACTCTGGATCTCTGGAGGGGAAAACTGTCTGCAGCAGAGATGTACCTCCACTTGCAAGTAGTTTAAGGAAGACGCTCAACTTTACCCCCAAATATGACTTTCCTGATCTCTACCTGATGCCTGATTTCAAGGATCTTGGTGAATGTACCTGTATGCTGACAGACTGGAAGGCAACCCCCAAAGCCCCGTAGAAGACTTTGTTCAAGCCACTATGGTCTGTTTTGGACGGTTTTGCAACACATCCATCCATTTTCTGGTCTGCTTTATCCTCACAAAGGGTCGCGGGGCATGTTGGAGCCTATCCCAGCTGTCTTTGGGCAGTAGGCGGGGGACACCCTGAACCGATTGCCAGCCAATCGCAGGGCACACAGAGACGAACAACCATCCGCACTCTCACTCACACCTAGGGACAATTTTGAGTGTTCAATCAGCCTGCCATGCATGTTTTTGGAATGTGGGAGAAAACCGAAGTACATGGAGAAAACCCACGCAGGCACGGGGAGAACCTTCAAACTCCACACAGGAAGGCCGCAGCTGGAATTGAACCATGCACCTCTGCACTGTGAGGTCGACGTGCTCAATCACTCAACCACCGGGCCATCTATTGCAACGCATTTTGTTTTTAAATCTGTTGTTCCTGTTTTGTTTTGTTTTTTTATAAGTGTCCGTTCGGTGGTAAGTGTACAAGACTAATGGCCAAACCCCACGACTTTTTTGTCGTTCATGACATTTCCTCTGTCAGACTACCAGATAAATATCGTTCAGTAATTTGCACCGGGGTCGATGTCACACGACAAGTCTGTCATCGCCCAATTGTTAAGTGCTTCCATCAAGATTCAGTCTATCGGCGCAGATCTGTTGGGGAGGCGGGACAAGTAGCTTTCAAAGTCATGTCAACAGAGGCATTTTGTGCCTGTGTGTTGTTTCTATGTTCAGAAAAGTCCTCCAGAAAAAAAAAAAAAAAGTATGGACCCATTACTGGATGGTGGGGAGAGGGTGGGATGGACCTTTGCTAATCAGCTACTAGCTCTGCAGTTAGCAAATGTCAGATGAGTTGAGATGCTATGGATACTTTCCAAATGTTCTCATTTTGTTCGTTACTTTTTGAATACTGTACACCACATTGTGATTGTGTGTGCCATGTCAGTTTCTCGTCATAAGTAGGATGGCACTGTCTTTCTCTTGGTCAATGCCAAAGGACCAATCTAAGGACGACATAGGACATGTCACACTATGCGGAAAGACATCGACATGCCATACTTTCATCATGGTAGTCATGAAGCGTCCCAGACATCAGCCGACCAATTATTGAGTATGTCACACTACACTGGCTACGAGACACTCCATTTGTCCGCGACATGTCTATCGGCTCAAAATCGGGCTAAAATCTGCAATATTTTGAACCTCTTTAGGCACCGTTTTCATCTGGTCCAGTGTAATTTAAGGGCAAAGAAACTTGGGCCAAAGATGAGTTGAATGTGCCCACTCTGTTTTGTAGCCCAGGAAGATGCAAATTGTAGTAGGACTATCTATTAGGCAATACAGTGGAACGCTAAGGGAGCCGTGGCTTTATTGGGCACCACAAAATCATAACTTTAATACACTGCAATGATATAGAAATGAATTATTACTAACAACTCATCAAATGTAAGCACTAAAATCAGTTCGGATGAAAAGCAATGCTCAGTCATCACGCTTACAAATGACAATAGATCGAAGCAATTTTAAAGACACTGTCACTTTTTTGTTTTTGAAAGAAAAATTCTTTTTTTGTTTTTTTTAAATAGCGCACATCATAAACCTGACAACCCACCATGATGCTGTGACGCGGAGTGCAGAGGCCAGCCACGTATGATGGAAGGAGATCCTAAAATGATTATGTGTGGATTCAAGGATTATGTTTTTGATCAAATCAGGAGAAAGAGAATGGTAACATGCAACTTAAAGCAAATTTTGATTGTGATGGGGAAAAACTGTTTGTGACCATTTAAACAGTTTTTGCATGTCCAGCGAACGTCTTTGCGACCTTTTTCACTCTTTAACGAACCCTGACAATAAAACAACATTCACTACATTTGCAAACACACACAAGGCTCGGCTGCTCAGTGTAATACCGCCTCAAGAAGCCTGACATTCTATCACTTACCATGACTTGATGTCTTATTCACTGACCTTGAACCTGGCTCAGATCTGTTTCGCTGTCAGTGTTATGACAGAAAAGTCTGGTTGAAACATTTTCCCAAATTTTTTTAGACCTTTTTAAAATGGTGCAATGGATCAAATCGTCGGAGGCTGCCTAGCCATGAGCTACTATTACTACTTTTCATCCAACTACATTTTCTTGAGAACGGGCTGTCTAAAAAAAGTTTTATTGATTAATGAGCAGAGAAGTCCAGCTGAGTGTCTGCAACACTGCTGGTGCAGGGTGAGTGGAGAGAAGAAGGGAGGAATAGGATCTTTGTGACTTTTGAAATGGATCATGCAGCATGAAAATCTTAGTGCATGTGCCTGGTTTTAGCCTGCTGACTGTGTACTACCAGCACTATTGTGTTTTATTTCATATTTTGAATCTCTTTGCAAATACAATTCCAATGAAGTTGGAACGTTGTGCAAAACGTAAATTAAAAACAGAACACGTTGCTTTGCAAATCTTCTCCAACCTGTATACAATTGAATACACTCCAAAGACAAGACATTGAATATTCAAATTGTTGAATATCGCCCCCCCCCCCACCCATCCCCCAAATACCACATTCTGTTGCTTTGATGCCTGCAACACATTCCCAAAAAGCTGGGACAGAGGCAACAAAGCCTGAAAGTTGAGGAATGCTCCAAAAAATATCTTTGTGGAACATCCCACAGGTGAACGTGTTAATTTGAAGAAGGTGAGTGTCATGATTCGGTATAATGCTCAGTTTTTCACAAGAAGGGAGGGAGCGGGCTTCACCACTTTGTGAACAACTGTGTGAGAAAATAGTTCCCAAAAAAATTGTGATTTCATCATCTATGGTCCATAATATCATCAAAAGATTCAGAGAATCTGGAGAAATCCCTGCACTTAAAGGGGCATTTCATTCAAAAGTAGCGTCATGGCACGTGGCCTTTGGAACACTTTAGAAAACCATCACAGCTAACACAGTTCTTCGCTACGTCGCCACATCTACAAATCGTGTAAAGTAAAAGCCACCCAGAAATGCCACAGGCGCTCTGGACCCAAGCTCATCTGAGATGGACTGAAGCAAAGTGGAAAAGTGTGTTCCTTTCAAATTGTTTTGGGAGTCATGGATGTCATGTCTTCTGGACCACCCGGATTGATATCAGTGCAATGTTGAAAAGACAGCATCTGTGATGCTGTGGGGTTGTGTTGGAGTTCATGGCTTGGGCAACTTGAACATCTGTGAAGGCACCGTTCAGTACACAGTGTCCACGTTTTGGAGCAGAATATGTTGCCAACCAAGCAACATCTTTTTCTGGTCTGTTCCTGCTTATTTCAACAAGACAAAGCCATTTCGCACATGTGCCAACAAACATGGCTCCGTAGTAAAAGAGTGCAAGTACTAGACCGGCCTGCCTGCAGTCCAGCCCTGTCTACCACTGAAAATGTGAGGTACGATATCAAGCGTAAAACATGAAACACCGTGAGACGCCAAACTGTTGAGCGAGTTTTCCATCAATCAAGAATGGGAAAAGAATTCCACCTACGAAGCTTCAACAGTTACTGTCCTCAGTTCCTAAACGTTTATTGAATCTTGTTAAAATAAAAAGTGATGTAAGACTGTCGTAAACACGCCCCTGTCCCGGTTTATGGGGAAAATTGTTGAAAAAAAATAAGACGTTTATCATTTTGAACATTAACTCTCCTGTCTTTGTAGTGCATTCAATTGGTTGAAAATGATTTGCAAATGATTGTATTCTGTTTCTATCCATGGTTTACATAACATGTCAACCCTACTAGAATTGGGGTTTGCATGTTTGTACTACATCATCTAAAGTGTGACAATCAATGTGTGGCAGTTTTAGATATTTTCAAAGTTTCTTGAGTGTATCTTGAGGTCATTTGCGATGGTGGTTAAAGTCTAGCTTGGATCCATGGTGACAGCAGAATTCCTCACGTTTCTTATCTCGTTGTCGCCATTGGGCCTAAGTGAATAAATGCAAAAAAACCAACCCTTATCTTCCTGCATATTGTAGAGCACTGGAATGATCATGTGAACAATAACAGAGAGTCATGTGCTATTCATTTTGCAAACTTGTGGAATTAACATTACCAGATGTTTAGATATTTCTGCCATGAAAGTCATTCAAGGCACACTGGGTAAGAAATGTTGCTCTTATTCATTGATATAACAAATGGTCCTACCTTTTCGAGTTCGGCGCTTTGCTTGGACTTGTAAATAAACTCTCCCACTGCCACGAACACGGAGAGCACAAGTCCGGCGGCTAAAACGATGAAGATTCCGCCAATGTTCTGCACCCCGAGGGCACTGGCCTCCTTACTTTCCTCTTCCGGGCAGCCGTTTCCTCGCCACCACCTCTCCTTCATCATGTGCAGCTTGCCTTCCTCCTGAAGCTGCAGGATGGCAATAGTGATCTTGTCTCTGTATGGAGAGCCTGGAGAACCAGAAGACTGTCTCAGAAATCATGGCATAGCAATCTTAGCTCTTTTTTAAAACTGAAGGAGTGAGGTAGATGCAAACTTGCGAGACAAATCGACTCACATATACTGTTTTGCAATCTCTTCAGTCCTTCTTGCCAAGCTTCACATTTCCAAAAACGATCACAATTTATTGTCCCTCGAGACAATAAAGACGGCAGCTATGACAGCAAGGTTGAAAACAGAGATAAAGGAGCTGCTGTATAGATGCCTGTGGATACTCCTGATCTCTGTGGTGACTTCTTCGCTTTAGAAATTCCACCATAGATTCGAAAATTATTTCCCTCAACCAAGCCGCAAAGGGTCTATTTCACTTTTTCAATCGGATCTGAAAGCCACGCCAAGAACACTGAATCTCTGACATTAAAATGGGAGGCAGAGCCATCAACCATCAACACCCCCTCCGTTGAGCCCTCTTTTAAGTTGCCGACAAGAAAAATGGGGCCATTTTGTCTTGTTGACACTGAAATCCACGCAACCTTATCCCACTGGCAAAACATTTCAATCGTTATATAATGTGCAACAATTTAACATATGGATGGTACACAGTGTATTTTTCATGTATGAACAAAGGGTCTAGTGTTGTCTGGTGAGAAATAGTAGTTATTCTTCTTGTAATGTATATCGAATACTGTAGGTATGTATGTATGTTGTGTTACTATTTAGTTTGCCTCATAGGAGAAATATGATGTATCCGATTGAGGGTACCAGTTATGCAAGGACCAGCTCCCCAATTAGAAACAAATGCACTTAAATGCAATGAGACATTTATGATAAACTATATTATAATATCATGATAAAAGCAAATTATGACACCGACAGATGTTCTTTAGGCTTTTCCTGCCATGTTTTTCATTCTAGCACAGGGGGGGTCAAACTCATTTTTGTCGCGGGCCACTTTGTAGTCACAGTTTCCCTCGGAGGGCTATTGTGACTGTGAAACCGCATCAGTGTTTCATCACCTCCTCGTATTATTACATATACAGTACACAATTAATAAATAACTAATTTTGAAATCAAAAGTCTAGGAGAGTAGTTCGTTCCACTGTTGTTCAAGTTTCTGTAATGTAAAACAAGAAAATGCTTGCAGTAGCTCAACAAGGTGATTTATTGCATATGACAATTTGAAATTCGGCATAGATTTTAGCATGCGTCATGGAAATTGACCTGGTTGAATTGCTTTCGCGGCCACATAGAATGATGTGGCAGGCTAGATTTGGCCCCCGGGCCTTGAGTTTCGCACCTGTGTTCTCGCAGAATCCTATACAATACAATACAAATATCGGCCACTACTTCAAACTGTTCAGAAGTCTTTCCACCTTGTCTAAGGCTGAAGAAAAGCACCCCCTTTTGTTGATGACCCTTGTTCTATTTGCGCCAACCTCGGTTTCGTTGAAAATCTCCCAAACCCATGTGAGAAAACCGATGAAACCAATGTTGAACTTTATTTACACTCTTTTTTTATTTTTTTCTGCTGAAATTAAATTGAATCCATCTGTCCGTCCATCCGGCCATATATCAGTCTAGTGTCTCTTTACAAAAACTGAGATAAATCAACCTTGTCTTGTAAGCAACCCGAATTCTCTCATCAATGATTCCTGTCCCACCGGAATGGTTTCTGACCCAAACAGCACCACCACTGCAATAGGGGTTAAGCGCAACCAACAAACCAGATTAAGCTATTCGAGGACAGGAGAATGGGACTAACCACTTGTTTTTAATCATCATCTACTCATCACTACGCACAGATTATTATTAAAATATTGATCCGACCATTGTTGTGAACACTTCAGTAAAACAATTATAGAACATCACAGCATGTCATGTGTATGCCATAGCGGTTGTATCAAAAAGGTCTCAACTTGCGCTCTTCCCTTGTTAATGGGACAAAAAGGTGCCTTGAGATGCCACCATCTGTCTGTGTGCACTTTCTGCGAGGAGATTAATCCCCTCGCGCTCTTTTTTTTTTTTTTGTCTGTGATCTGCATCTTCTGCCCCTACGTGTCTAAACATACTGTAGTAGCCGCTGATGTGATGGATTTCAAAGGGCGTGAGCGCATCCGATGCAGAATGAGGATGAGGAAGAGCAGGGAAAATTATCAGTGAAGGTGTGGAGGAGGAGTGAAGGAGAGGAGACAAACAAAAGAGAGAAGGGGAAGGAGGAGAGGAACAACCAAAGAAGCGCAAGAAAAGAAGGAGGCCCGAGTAGTGTTTTATACTATACCTGATTGAATATTGAGGGTGTTGGGCAAAGTTGGTATGTGTGCATTTTATTTTGTGAAATCAGGACTGCGGATGGTATATGAAACGATGACTAATCGGCCTTGGTCGGTGACTGTTCAGGTTCATGGCAACCTCTTTCAATGCATAATTTTGCGCGTGTGCAAGCTTTGTTGCGACGCTAATATGGGGGAATTCCATTGAAATATTTCTAAATGGAGTATCTGAACTGTGGGGAACTGCGTGCATGTGTGCGTGTGTGTGAGTGAGAATGAGAGAGAGAGAGAGAGAGAGAGAGAGAGAGAGAGAGAGAGAGAGAGAGGAAGAGCGAGATGAAAGGGGAGGTGGTGACGTTAGGAGCTTGCTCGTACAGCATGGACCACCTGATGGGCTGGTTCCGGCCCTATTTTTTAGACCCCCGATTTAGGGTAAGCTCCCCCTGGAGCACAGGGGATAAAACATGATTCGCTTGAACAACAATTATCAAGTGTGGAGAGTCAGTTTCGGAATTGTATTGACTATTACTGCTAAGGAGCAACTCTAATCAGCTTTTTGACTTGAGGTTGCATTTATTAATCTTACAGGCCGTTTTCTCCCGTCCTTCATCGCTTCCCAAGGACCTCTGCTATCTCTCTCCTATTTTAGCATGAACAGACAGCATGTTTCAAAAACATATATCACAACAGTGATGGCAAGTATGAATTGCAATCATGGCTTTGTTATTCACTGTCATCTTCACGACATAACTTCTTTTCAGCCATCGAGTGCAGTACGTTATTGTGTGAGGAAAAAAAAAATCACTTGCTTCGCCAGCCAGCCTTGACACTGTGCCAGGTCTGTCAGATCCAAACAAATAGAAAGACCTCAGCTGCGACATCATGGAAATGATGAACATGCGCAACGTGCCATGCAGTCACTACCTGTGATGCACAGTCCTAGCCTTCATATTGACGGTGATATAAGTGACAAGTGACATTGAGGCACAATCCCGTGCTTTATGACCCCTTCCACCCTGCCCGTAAATCCAAAATACGATAGCGTCTTTCTAAATTCCACTTATATTGCAGTAATAATGACAGAGCCTTAAAAAAAAAAAAAAAAAAGAAATAATAAAAATTACATGAGTTCAGCTCACTCTGACCAGGAACGCAAGAATTTTGTTTCAGCTGTGGAAAAAAATAACAGAAAGGCAATTTAAAGATTATTTTGGAAGACAAATTGTTGTCGTGTCATTATTTTGTACAATGCATATTAATCAGTCTTTCTTGAACAAACGAGAAAAGTCCATGTGTCTCGATTCACCCTTTGCTGACATCCTACACCGACATAAAGAAAAAAAAATGTTTTGTTTTTAAATCCTGATACCGTGTTCATTCACGTTTTGCTTTACCCTCTTGATTTGACTTTTTACTATTCAGATTTTTGTGATTCTCAGTCTGGTCCAATGCCTATACCCCACAAACAGCAGGGGTCCGCTGTATTTCCATTTCATCCTGGCTCTTTGTCGCAATTCCACTCTCCCTGGTTCCCGCTCTGCGTTTGCACATATCTCAGAACAAAGGCAGAAGACACTTCTCCACTAAAGACATCCTTTAAATATGATGCTGCCTTTCTTCGTATCTGTCTTCTTATTATCCTTTGCTCATAAGAATGGCTTCTGCTGCACAGCAACATCAAAAGAGATCTGCAGGTGGTGGGGTTGTGGGGATCTATATATACAAATAAATGCACATACATAAAACAGAGTCAAGCAAAGCTTGTAGATTTGTGTCCTCATAGCAAAGTGAAGTAACATCATCTGGTTCTGCCTACTTAGACAATCAATCACAGTCCCTTGCAGAGATCCGACTGAAAACATATTTAATCTAAGAAGCTCCTGCAAACAAACACGTGATACAGTCAGGGCGTGTTTCTGTCAGTCGTCAGCAAAACGAGCGTCTGTCGGTGATGGACTGAGAGGTCTGTTGGTACTTGACCCGACTGGTGACGACTACACCGATGGACAAAAACCCACTCCTGGCAGTGCTTATTCTGTCTTTTTTTTTTTTTGTGCCTCCCATCATTCGTCAATCACCAGCAAAACGGGCGTCCGTCAGTGACAGACTGACGGACCTTCCATCAGCACTGATGGAAGGCCCACCTCTATGTGTATCAGACAACCCCCATTTCCTACTTTGACACTTGCTCCATCCTCTTAAGTCATGCTGACACAAGACCACAAACAGCTCTGGTTAAAATATCAGAATGCATTTTTGAACAACATTGTAATGATGATGTATCTTAAACTATGAAGGCTAACTGATGCATTCTTCTTCTTATTACTATTATTGTTAATATTATTATTATTCATGCATTTGTTGAATTGTCTTTTGACTTTTTATTTTTGTGTTCATTGTATTTTTAAATGAAGGAAATGTAACAGCAAAAAATGTTGACAGTAACAATGTATTCCTTTAGGTTTCTCAGTTGTCAATGGAATATAAACCTTCATTCATTCATTCTCCAAACAGATGACTCTTACTAGGATCACGGATGTTCTAGAGCCTATCCCAGCTTTCTTTGGGCGAGAGGCGGGTTACACCAGAAATGGTCGTCAGCCAATCGCAAGGCCTGAATAGACGAACAACTATTCACACTCACGCCTATGGACAATTTAGAGCAGTGGTGTCCAAAGTCGGTCCTCAACGGCCGCTGTCCTGCCTGTTTTCCAGCTCTCCCAGGAGCAACGGGCAAATAATCAGGATCATTCGAATGCTGCTTCAGAGCTGGCTGATGAGCTGATCATCTGAATCAGGTGTGTTGCACCGGGAGAGATTGAAAACAGGCAGGACAGTGGCCCTCTAGGCCCAGAGCTGGACATGCCTGATTTGGAGTGTTCAGTCAGCCTGCCATGCATGTTTTTGGAATGTGGGGGGAAACTGGAGAACATGCAAACTCCAGATATGAAGGCCAATGCTAAATGGTCAGGTATTGTCATGTGTTTTATTGTCAAAAATTGTCCAAATATAGTCATTGGTATTGAATCAAAATTGTCTGATAATGCCCACCACTACTCTGATATGCTAAAGATGGTCATGTGATCCACCTTTGAAAAATGCCTACATGATGTCATTGCAAATATAGGGATTATCAACAACACACGTATATGCTTCTTTTTAGCTAAGTACTACATCTAATCATGCATTTACAAAAAGATTAGGCAGTAAAGATTGCACGAAGTAAACACACTTTTATAAAGTCAATTTCAGACATCTGGGACGTAAAAGTGGATCCATTAGACAACTGAGGAAGTTGTCAAGGGGACTGTCAGCTGCGGCTCTCCCAAGGCCTTGGTACTAATGCCGTTTGACCTCAAGTCAATGAGATATATGCAAAATGACCAGGCTATATGGGAATACAGTTTGCAGATGGTCAAGGCTACTAAAAGGGTAGGATTAGCAATTTAAATACCTTGTTCTTTCTGGATGTGAACGAGCCACCTGGGAGCAGTGAAACTAGCACCTTTCGTTTCTACATCACACACGCTGGCCTATAGAGAAACTGTTTTCAAGCCTTCACTCACTTTGCTTACCTGCCTATCACTCGCATAAGCTTTATTTCAATAACACACATTTAGTAATACTATATTAACAGCTATAAACAGCACACTTATGATGCTGGGTTGGAAAAAGAATCGACAAAAATAAATTTTTATATTGTTTGTTTTACAACTCACTAGATTTTACATTCACATAGGGAGTGTTGGGCAAGCTACTTGGAAAATGTCGTGAGCTATTCCTCAACCTATTCTACGTTAAATGTATCTTAACAACAAGGAAGCGAACCACCAGAAAAATGCAGCCAGAATAAAATGACTCAAATGACTAAACTACTTCAGAGCTACGTCACTTGGGTGGAGCCTCTAAAAAAACAAACACAAACAAAAAAAAAAAAAAAACCCCAAAACATTTTCAAATTTTGTAATTGTACTATGAGGGTATAAATGGACAGTTTTACTTCGACAATTTTGGGATAATATATACTGCAATTTATGTGATGGACTAATGTAATATATTAAACAAATAAGGTATGACAGTTGCGGTCACCATTTTAATAGGGATGGGTGAGTACCAATAATAGGCACCGTTTCGTCTGATCGCTTGCTGATGCTCACAGCTGGTCGCCGTAAAATCACAATTCATGACCATGTCATCACAGAGCCCGATTTATAGTTATATTGTCGACATAGACCGGTACTGGGTCGAGGACCTGTGCAATCAAGTGTGTTATGCAGAACCTGTCCAATGATGCAGTCTGATATTTCACGACATGATGTTATTATGTATTACAGTTTATATAAAATAGTCTGTGACACTTCAATACATTTGATTGTAACACCAACACACGTTTGCATGAAATACGGTACCCGAGGAACCACTTTAGTTGAGTTAGTCCAAAGACTGATGAAAAACAAATAAAATAAATCTGATAACAAAATAAGATAACATACATATGACCAAGAAGATAAAGGAAATTATTCACGGTTTGACCGTGTGCAAAGTTGCTAATGCAGCCAAGGTGTGGATACAGCGGAATGAAAATTTGCACTTGACAAAGATTAGGGTTGAAGGACAAAGTCTCGAACATGCAGTGATGAATAGGCATGAAGGAGCTAATGTCGGGGCGACAGAGCACCATTTGAGCTTAACGTTCTAACAGCTTGAGGAAAGAAGTTGCTCTTCAGCATGGTGGCCTGCTATGGATGGTCCGTAACCTCCTGCCAGAGTGGCAAGGAGATGGAAGAGGGTTTGTGGAGATTTAGGTGGGTCCTCAATGATGCAGAGAGCCCTCTTTCTGCATCTTCTGGAGAAGATGTCTGTCATTGTGGGGAGGTGAACCTGCTCCTCACAATCTTTACACGGTCTTTACCATCCTTTGAAGAGCCTATCTTTGTGCAGCGTGCCACACCGTAATGCTGGTGCTGAGGACTCTTTCCACCACACATGTGCAGAAGCTCCTCAAGCAAGAAACCCGCAGTCCGGCATGTCATAGCTTCTGGAGGAAGTAGAGACGATCTTTAGCAGACAGGAAGTGTTTCGGCTACTGATAAAGTCACCGGAAAGGTGGACCATAAGGTACTCGTAGCTCGAGACCACTTCCATTGTTGCTCCACCAACGTGCAGTGTCCTGAGGCTGTTCCACCAACATCTCCTTGGTCTTCTCCAAATGAATGCAAAGGTTGTTACTTTTGCCCCGGTCAACAAGATGTTCTGCCTCCTCTCTGTACTCGGACGCATCGTTGTAAGTGATGCGCCCCCACTATGTCTGCAAACTTCGCTAGATGACAGCTTGTGAATTTCACTGAGCAGTCCTAGATTAGTAGTGTGAACAGGAGGAGGCTCAGTACACTGACCTTGGCACGGCACGTCCGGAGGATAATGCAGGAGGAGACGATGTTATGGATCCTGACAGTCTGTGGTCAAGGACCCAGGCCTTGCGGCATGTCATCTTTTAGCCACATTTCCAACAGACGAAGCATGTAAAAGTTTCTCATTTCTCTGGAACCACGTCACCTTGGGCAAAGTCCATTTTATGAAAGTGATTGTATAGGTGGTTTGTTAGCCTTGAGCTAAGCCAGACAAGCTGCCTGCTTGCCTTGCTTTTGTTTACGTGAGCAGCACTCCCTTTTTCTGGCATCTACTGAAGTTGTGTAGCGCTGCATAGTTATAAGGTCTATCGAGTGGACTTTCCATGATAGGTGAGATAGGCAATTGTCATTGAACGCTCTCTAAAAGGATGTAGTTCATCCAGGCTAAACTTCACATGCTGTACTGGCATTGAGACGGCACTAAAATCGGTTTTATGTCATTGTGAATGGGCTTAATCCTGGGAGCTCGAGACACTGCTGCAGCGCTGGGTGCCACGAACTCTTATTTGTTTTAAGATAAGAAAACATTTATTTGTCTCACAATGGAGAAATTCCCAATTTACATCAGCAGCATTATGAAAAGGATTTATATGGGACCTTATTTTTATTCCACAGACAAGGAGTGAAGCGCGCCCAAGGAATGACTGTACAGTATGTACACAATTGTAAAACACTCAAAGGAAACATAGGTCAGGATTACTTTTCGTCTTGTGTTAAACATTACACTGTATCCAGTGCAACACAGAAAAATACAGCACCATGGAACCATAGTAGCATTGGTGTTAATATGCATAGAATAAAATAACTTTAAAAATGGTATATAATGTTTAGTCAGCAATGCAGCATCCAGTACATACCCATTGGAGTGCCAACCCCATAGGCTTGTGAGTCAATAAGACCTCCAATCTGGGTGAGGTTGCAGTTGCGTTGTGTGGCAAACTCAATGCTTGTCGACTCCATGAGGAAAGCATAATCTGACGTGAGTACTCGGTGAATGCCCTCTTCAACATTCTTCACCATCACCGAATGCCGCCGACTGCTCATGAATTCCCACATTTTATCATAAGTGGAGATCTTGGTTTTCTGTGAGGAGACATCATAAGATTGTGAAAGTAAATAGCCAAAAAAGTTTGTGTAGTCTTTATAGGGCAATATACCATATGTGCTAACTTGTGTGGAAATAAACACCACTTGTCTCACTACATACAGCGGTAGAAGCACACAATTCCTCTCTGCCCTTTGTTGCATTAATATTTAAATGGTAATGAAAAAAATACACATACGATACAATACATATTGTTCAGCCATGATTAAGAACAGTAAGCCATTTTCAACATTTTACATCGGTGAATAGTTTGTAAAAATAGCACACTATGTGCAGACTGACCAAGAGTATATATAGATTTGTGAATTTAAAAAAAATATATATATAGTGTTGCAAGATCGGGCCCGGCGGCAGCAAATATAGAACAGTAATGTAGGCTAGCGAGTCATCTGAGGAGCAGTCTCTCAACAGCAAGCAGCCCAACTACACTTCAGCTAGATACTGATACTAATGGCTCCTGATGCACTTTTGAGTACCTTTGAGGCAGGAGAGCACACTATAAGAAAGCTCATGTACAACAGAATATGAAGATCTTGGATCGGGTGGTGTGAAAACTGTCTTCACTCATGAGAAACTGTATTTCATAAACGTTCTGCTCCTGTCATTTGCACTGAGGAGAACCAGCTTGGGCATAAGCAGTGTGCTTCAAATTGCATACACGCTATCCCACAGTTTGATTACAAGGGAACGTTACTTTCTTTAGAAGCAGAATTGAAGGCAGTTTTGAAGCCATTCGAAACCTAATTAAGTCACATCTTCAAGGTCCCACCCGCCATTATTGTGTGTAATGACTTTTTGTGGCTGGTCGATATTTTAGATCAACTGGGTGATTTGCGGAGTGCCTATCAGAATCTTTTGGAGTCACCCTTGACAAATCAGGCGATTGAGCATGCAAGCTTCTGACTGCTGATAAGAAGAAAGCAATGGCGATGAATACATCGACAGACAGATAACTCCTATATGCCAAAACCGACTGACAGCAGTGGTGCATCACCACATATGTGTACCCAAGCACTACAGCAGATTTGCGATGTTGGAAATGGAAAGGTACAGATAACAACCAAGCCTCGCAAAATGCATTGTATTTCTACAGAATACAAATGATTAGAAAAACTGAATTGAAATACTCTTACTTAAATACACAATCCTATCTTTCTGCAACTGCCAGTGCCGCCGACGAAGCCAACGATCATCAATTCCCATAGTCTCGATTGAGCTTGCTTTCGATAGTGAGAAATGATTTCAGCCTTTACAGACAGCGAGTTTCGCTTCCGTTGACCAGACATGTCTACAGACCATGTGTTCAGGACCGCGCCGTGCCTACGTGAGTTACGGCAGAAAGTACAACAATGTACCGAGTCGATCAGCAGCGTTGCTAAGCAACAGAGGGGAATCCCGTGCCGTACGTACATTTTGTTCATAAGCTTCCCATGGTTCATTGTCACCAAATCTGGTTGTTATACTGAAGTTTACGTTATAAAAGTGTACATTGTCAGCAAAATCGGCAAATGGAAAATGAATTGCGTGAAATCGGGACTTTGAAATGTGAACGTTATACAGTAGGGGTGGGTGAATACGTAAAATGGGGTATGTTGACTGTATTATTATTTGGCATGTCATAATATTCATGATATCGCAGTATTAAAGTGTGTCGATATCATTCTGTTCTTTTTCCAGGGTAAAATAATGAGCCCTTTGTGCTTCAAATTTGGTTTTGGGTTGACTATGTGCACATCATTAAACTGGGCTGCTACATCACTCTCTCCAATTACTTGTTACGGTATATGAGCACCACCCGTTTGCCCACGAACCCACATGGCTGACTGGCCCATGTGAGCGCAATGCTGCATTTAAACGCGGTAGTCATGTAGACAAAATGGCAGCCGCGGCGGCTGTGACCGGGTTCACAAGGAACCTAGGTTAGTCGCACGGTTAAAATAATAATAAAGCCTCCGCTTCCCTCAAGTGCAGACCCGTGGGCCCGGCGTGCCCCCATTGTGCTGAGAACTGCTGCCAGTGGACATCTGCTAATTGAATTTTTAAGTGTATTGCTTGTGGCGCTGGTATACACAGCATGGCATCTTATACTGTGTTTCAACGGTCTTCACTTTCAGTATTTATAAGAATGAGTAAAACGAATAAAATTCAACAAGTACCATGTGTAAATTGTACCTTAAGTTTATCTCTATACAGTAAATGTTTTTTGTTGTGTTTATAAGCACATATCCTTGGAAAGTGAATGCGAGTAACGTGGTTTACGGCATTCAGCATATGGGTTGATGTAGCCTTGATTTGAGTGCAACAGCACACGCTGGTCCTTGTCGTCAAGAATCTCTTCGCTGCTTGTCAAAATGTTTTGCATATTTTTCAAAGGCCCTTAATCAAAAGAATCTAGAGAGTGGAGGGGGATCGCGCATGGTTTTTGTCTGCACAAACAGCAGTGTTTTTATATTATGCAGCCTTCTCTCCGTTGTACAGACACCGTTTATGATACAGGGAAGCTGTGAAACAAAACGGCTATAATCGAAAAATTATTTCTGCAATGCAAGTGCGGTATATTAAGTCACATTTGTGCTTTGACTTCTCAACCAGCAGAAGGGTTGAATATAAGAGCTGCAGATCAAATCTGAAAATAGCGATGACAATGAATTTTGGAAATGTATGTTGTTGTTGTTTTTTTGTTTTTTTTTTACCCACTGAGATGGATATTTTACCTGAAGTGGAATAAAACGTATACGGTACCAGAGTGGAAAATGAATTGAAAGAAAAATACAGTACTACATTAATGTGACACAGTGGGAAATTACAATTGTTGACTGCAAGTGATAATTCCTTCGAGCATACCCTCTTAAATTTACATTTTAATTCGATGGGCGTTTTATTTTAATTTGGTGACTGTGAACTGCATCTGGGACTGTGAAATTGTTTACTTAATGGCTACATTGCATGCTGTTTGATTTTATTTTGGCCATATACAGTAATCATTCATGTTTACTGTGACAATAGTACACAATATGTAGAAACTCATGAGCCATTGGTATATTTAAAATTCTACATAATTTTTATTGGTATATTGTTATAAATAAATTTCTTCTTAATATTATTAAGTTATCCATCCATCCATCCATTTTCCGATCCGCTTTATTCTCACAAGGGTCACGGGGTGTGCTGGAGCCTATCCCAGCTGTCTTTGGGCATTGTATTTTATTTCTTGATTAACTTCTAACAAAGGGTATTGTTTATTAAAGGGTAATTCCGTTTGAAATCCCTCAATTTGTGAGTCAAACTTAAAACAGGTGTACTGTAGTAATGCATTTTCACCCAGTGCTTTTAGGTTTTTGGCATGTATACCACCTCTCTCTCTCCAACTCTCTCTCTCTCTCTCCCTCTCTCTCTCTCTCTCTCTCTCTCTCTCTCTCTCTCTCTCTCTCGCTCTGTACACACACACATATTTGACGTCAAACAGAAACTATACTGGATTACCGGATCTCGTTTGATGCAGGTGTAGCGAGAACTGTGACCCATGCATGCATTTTAACTGCTTTACTGAATTTTATACAGCATATGTACACTTTATTTTGTTGCTATTGTTATAATTCTTCCAGAATTATACATACAAAATGAACAATAAATAAACGTATTTCAATTACTACTATTCCAAGTGGTATTTTTATGACTGCTAAAAGAACATTGGAAAGACTTCGAAAATCTCGAAATAACATGTTATTTAAAGCTCTCCACCAGACAGATCCTATTAACTAGGAGATTTCACCAGTCATCAGTGGATAGGATCATTCTGGAAAGCGTTTTGATATCAAAGTAATACAATTAATTATGTAACAAAACAGGCCTCAAGCTTTTCTGCACTGTTTGATTAAACATTTTCAAAATGCAGATTAATTAGGATATTAACCGCCGTATATTTATTCTGCAATGGCAAGCCATAATTGTGATTTTCATGGTCTGCTCTATCTTGTTACCTTCTCTCCCCACCACCATCTCCATGAGTTCCCCCTGATTTAATAACCAGACTGTTCCTGCTATTATTTTTGTGCAAAATAATCTGCATTTGTAAAGACTGAAGATTTGGAGAGGTGGCCTTGTAGAGGGGCTCTGTTTTAAACATTAACCGGCATCTCCCAATTATACCCACAAGGTAAAAAAAAAAAAAAAAAAAAAAATCCAGCCCACCCTTTAACAAGATGTGATTTTATTAGCTAACAAGCAAGTCTCTACAGCAGTGGGTGTTTGCTATTAAATTATTCAGTGTTGGTGTAGCAGAGGTCCACGAGGAGTTCTGCTCGAGAGACGAGTGAAACGCTTCTATGCTTCAGAGACCATCCTAGGCAGACATTTACATAATTAGGCACCATTATACTATTTTCCAGCACGAGTCACTAATTACCAAAACAGTATTTTGTAAATGTTATTCCTGGATGTGAATTGTGATGTCTGTGCATATTATTTGTGTGTACTGCCACTACACTAAACATCATGATAACCGTGTGCCATTAACACCTTGATAAGGACATTAAGGGCAGTTGCCCTCTGCATTTGTCTGGCTTCGTTAATACTCAACTGAGAAAAGTAAAATGATTTTTTTTGCTTCCTTGTATCTGTTTTTTATTGATATGTTCTGTTTGTTTTCATATTTATCTTTATCAGTTTCAAGATCAATTGTCAAGTCAAGTCAGCTTTTATTGTCAAATACGTATGCATGTGTAACATACAGCATAGATGAAATTATTTTCTTCTCTCAACCACAGTGCAAACATGTAGTGCATTGAACACACACAGCTAAAATTTGAGTTAAAATTTCATAAGACATAAATATATAAATATGTTAAATAAACAAATAACAACAACAGACAACCAAGGGCACTTGTGATTATTGCATATTCGTAGTGACTTGTTTTAAGTGCAATAATCGGATGTCAGATGCTGGGGGAGGGACACCGATTGTGGCAGGAGGCAGGAGGGAGTTTAGTCTGCTGACCGCCTGGTGGAATAAACTGTTCTTGAGCCTGGTGGTTTTAACAGAGAGACATCGCAGTCTCCTCCCCAAACACAAACAAATTGTGTTGACCGTTTGCCACTCGTCAAAAAGGACTCAGTCAAACAGTACCTGTACAATTCGAATACATACCTCTATTGATTTATTGTGCCGTAAACCTAATGAGGTTCGGCAAGTACTCATTTTTCTACCATGGAATCACTTGTAAGTTGTAGGAGTGCAAAACATACTGTGTATTCTGGTGAGCTAACCAAATGTCAGGTCCACAATAGACACTTGAATGCTCTGGAAATACATTCTCCTCACTAAATATTGGCCAGTGAGCTCAATTTTTTCTCCGTTTGCTCCGTTTTTACCAGTTAGCGCTCTGCAAAAGCCATGCAATCCTTTCGTGAATTCGCCCCAGAATTCCTTAAGACTCTGGACGTTGTGGGGCCATATTAGTTGACATGCGTCTGCAAAACTGCATAGACATCGGTGGACTGTGCCTCTGGATGCAAACTAGGGTGGTGGAACCCGGATTTACAGAAGTGGAACCAGAGCGTATGTATTTACCATGGAGCATTACACTCCTCAGCCTGCATGGTAAGACCAGTATGTGGGTTCTGGAGGGAGGTCTTTCAGGAAGTCAAACCTCAGATTAAGCAGGTGCAGTGTGGTTTTCATTTTGTTCAAGGTCTCCCTTAGGGATAGTGTGACAAGCTTGGTCAGTCAGGAAGGCATCCGAGAAGAGCCGCTGCCCCTCCCCCTTGAAAGGAGCTAGATAAGGTGGTACAGGCATCTGTTTTAAAATGCCTCCTGGATGACTCCCTGGTGAGGTGTTCCGGGCACCTCTCACCAGTTGTTGTCCCAGGACACTGGCGAGAACGTGACTCCCAAGCAGCCCTGGGATTTCCCTGAACAAACTGAATGAAGTGGATGGGGACATGGAGGTCTGGGCTTACCTGCTGAGGTTGATGATGTAAGCAGAAGAAAGATTGATGGGTTAAAATTTACTGGGAAGCACTTACAGGCTATTTGTTTGGATACAAATGGCCACATTTCTGGAGTCTCTGCTCACGAATTAGTGTGAAGTTATGCCCCCATCCCACCCCCGGATACAAATGGCTACGTTTCTGGAGTCTCTGCCCACGAATTGGTGTGAAATGATGCCCCCCCCCCCTCCAAAGAAGGATGAAATGCCTTTGTAGGAGAAGGTGTCTCTTAAGGGGTGTAAGTATTTGTTTTTGGCATCGTGTCCTCATGCTTCACATGCATGGATCCTCACACTCCTTGACTTGGTGATCAAGTGATGCCTGTATGGCTGAAAATAAAAGACAAATTTTTACTTCTTGGTAGCTCAGGTGCAAAAACACAGCTCCTCCAAAACAGGCTGATTTTAACAAGGTTGTTAAAAAAGAGGGTGTTAAGTATGTGTATTGTGGTATTTTCAACCCCCCCCCCAAAAAAAAAACGTTTTCACAGACAGGTTATTACAATAGCTGGTAATAGTTCTTATTTATGGAGAACTGGCATATGTGGTTTGTGAGGAGCACCTGGGAACATATCTTAATGCACACTTGGCGATAAAAAAGTGTGGTATAACAGCTGTTAGCTCGCAGAAACTGATTAATTTTAAATCATTAACACCCTATGAAAACACCTATGAGATAAGTGTCTGTATACAAGATAAATGGAGGAATGCATGACTGGAGGTTGATAATAGAAGACCAACCCGAGGGCACAGCAAATCTTTTTTTTTTCTTTTTCTATACAGCTTTTGGCTGTAGCCACTGTGTCATGATTGATGTTTTTGTGGACTTTTGTATTCTATTCAGTAGCTTTAGTCTTATTTCATATTATGTCACCTTTCCCGATGTCCCTTGTTTCATCTCTTCCTGTTCTCGCCCGCAATGTTCCTTGTGTTAACTCTAACCACTCGTGTCTTGTCCAGGCGTGCCTTGCTGATTCGTCAGCTTGTTTGCCTGGTTTTGTTCAGTCTGTGTCCCATCATCCTTAGTCACATAGCAGGTCATATTTCCCAGTAGTATGTGATGGGGAGTGTTTGTTTTTTTTTTTTAACTTATGTTTCTTTGTTACTTTGAAGCTTTTTTGGGGGGCGCAGAAGCGGGGCTTTCTTCATTGAGAATGTTGATTCTTCCACATATGTTGTTTGTCTTTTTGAATTTTTTTTTTTCCAAGTTACTCCTGTTTCTTTGCCTTGCCTTTGCAACCATCCCAGAGATGGTATGGATCCACTTTTGCCTCCCTTTTTTGGGCATCAGTGGTGGGGCAACATGGCTCGTTTCCCAACCCAGAGGTTGGTGGTTCGATCCCCGGCCATTGCCATACAAATAACAGCCCATTTACCTTCCACCCCACCAAGAAAGCCACACATCCTTGACAAAATCAAAATGATCCGACAAAATGAGGACACAGCTGGAAGCGCATAGCGTTGCCCTCCATGCTGTCCGTCTGCCTGCCATCACCCTCAGTCTGCTGACCAAGGTAATCCTCAGCCTGTAAAGCTTGTTGTTCTGTCCTGTTTCACATGATCCAATTTTTGTTTTGCCCAACAATTTTACATTCTTAGTTTTTAGGAAATATTTTAACTTTTTCATTTTATTTTCAATCACCTTTCTTGGATTCTGACTCTAATTCAGATTTTGATTTCTTCGGGTCTGTCCCTCATAATTTTTCTGGTCACAGTCAGTTTTGGTGTTGTTTTCTCTTCCGATCTGTGTGTGTCCATGCTCAAGTCTTTTCCTTCTAACTTCTACTTCGTTTGGCCAGCTACCTGGGACACCCATGTGTTGACCAACAGTGGCACCCAAATAAAGGTTCAGTTTTGTCGTCACATCCCGCATCTTGTCTTTTTCTTTGTCGTCTTTCCATGCCTCTGTCCACATCACTCTGAACCTGTCCCCAAATCGCCCCGTTCCCTGTCTGTTGCATCACTTCATCTCATGCCACCAGTTTTCTCCACACTCATCTTCATCGGGTTCCTGCACACTTGGCCCCACTTGTTTTTATTGCTCCCCAACCTCCATGGTGGCAGGCTGATGAGGCTAATGCAGACCCTGTTCTTGCGATGTGGCAGCAAGTCAATGTACCCGTTCTTATTCCGTTGCTGCACAAAGTCAGTGCACATATGCTCCAATTATGCTTGCTGCATGGCCGCCATCGGACCCAGTCCACACCACAGGTGAGCAGCCGGGCCGCCAAATAAACCACCCATCTGCATAGGGCCAGGCATCACGACCATCCACCTGATCGTCCCGGTGCAACCTTCTGTGTTTGCCGCCCTGGTTAACCTCCTGCCCGGCCCACATCTTGTTTCCAAGATGCCCACCAAACTGACGCCGTACATGACTCCATGTCACCTTCCAGCTATCCTGTTTGGGACAGTTCTGCTGTGATTTAGGGATGTAGCGTATTGTTACATATTGTTAGTTGTTCATACAAAACCTGTTTGTTTTTAGCAGTGATCCTCTTTTTTCTTGCGCAATCACTATTAGAATCGTTTAGCCCTAAATATTGATAATGTTGCGGACAAAACCTGTTCTTAGTTCTTAATGTATTGTGCTCAGAAAAAAACATCATATTTATTATAAAGTTTTGCAACTCCACACACCCTGTTACGGTACTTACAAGTACCTACTCAATCTGTATGCGCTGACTGCTGCCTACTCAATGAGCAATTACATCCCGTGTCACCTGCCGTTCTCAAACAAGCGGAATGCTATCAAAATGTATTGCCTGTGCACTGACTTAAAGCTAAAAACATGGAGAAGTGTTTAAAACACCCACATTAAAAAAATATTAATCACGTTTTTCAATAGGCTATCGGGGACATGTCTAAGTACCGTATTTTTCGGATTATACATCGCTCCGGATTATAAATCGCACCAGCCAAAAAATGCATAATTAAGAAGGAAAAAACATATATAAATCGCACTGGAGTATAAGTCGCATTTTGGGGGGACATTTATTTGATAAAATCCAACACCAAAAACATACATGTCATCTTGAAAGGCAATTTAAAATAAAAATAAAACTAGAGAACAACAGGCTCAATAAGTGTACGATATGCTAACGTTACATGACGCTTAAACAACGAACTGTGAATGTGCCTGGTATGTTCAAATAACATATTAAGAGTTATTTAGACAACTATAGCGCAAAGAACATGCTAACAAATTTACCAAACCATCAGCGTCACTCCAAATCATGAAATCAAATGAAATCTTCATGCTCGGTGTCACTTTTAAACAACTCCGCCAACTCCGGAGGTAGAGGATGCAGCGCTTCCCCTTCTACGTCGCTTATGTCAGAGTCATCGTCAGTTGTTTTTCTCAGTTACCACCAACGTGGAAAGTATCAACACAGGCCGAGAGCACCCTCTTGCGGTTTAATGTGAAAATAACATGTGATGTGTACAATGTGTTAACCATTTCACACATATGTTGCTCCAGAGTATAAGTCGCACCCCAGGCCAAACTATGAAAAAACTGCTACTTATACCCCGTAAAATACGGTACCGTATCAAAACACGGTCTTTAGTACATTACATGATGTGATAACAAAAACACAAACCCAAGCTGAGTGTTGTGATGACGGGGACTAAACACCCTTTTGTTAACCTTGAGAAACTTTGTAAGCATTTTTTATCTTCAAATTTGAATAAGTCATGCAAAATAGTCTGACTCAAGTGGAGAAAGTTTTATCTCTGGACGATGTTACTAAATATATAATATGGATATAACTGACCTTGAAGAAAGTCATTGTGGCACCATCCTCGACCACGCCATACTCTATCTTGGTCTGCTTGGCAAGGTCATCAGCAGAGTCAATAGGCGACTCCATCCTCTCCACAGTGAGGAAGGCTGCAAGGTTTGCCGTGTAGGAGGAAATGATGATGAGAGTAAAAAACCACCAGATTCCTCCGACAATTCTGGTGGAGAGGGCTTTCGGCATGAGTTCAGATCCTGAGTGAGAGGAGCAAAGGGAGGTCATGAGACTGAGTTGTGCAGTCGATGAGAGAGCGGGGCAGCATCCTGGACAGCTGAGGCCAGGCTGGTCCTCCGCACCAGTGAGCAAGCTCAAACTCCAAAAAGAAATAAACTCAAATAATTATCTTTCCGTTGGTGGCGCAGAGGTTGCTCAGTGTCACCCCTTGTGCCATATTACCCGGGAGCAGTTAACCAGAGTGTGGAACCAGACTAGGACCTCATAATATTTGCATATCTGTTTCATCGTTTTATTTATTTAGTTTAATCGATTGGCCACTTGACCCATTTCTGCAAAGTAAAGCACAGCAACATTTATGTGCAATTTGTGGTTAAGCATACACATCTACCGTATGCGAGGGAGTGAAACTGCTCTGTTGAAAGAAGAAGAGCCTGAGTTCTATGTAATCTGTTTTACCCAAGCAGCTTAAGCTATTGAAAGCTGGGATTTCGGACAGTCATTCACAGCTGATAAAAAGCCATAAAGATAGGGGGTTAAGAACTGCATGCTCCACATCCTCTGTGAGAAAACTCAATCTGCATTCAATAGGGAGGGAGTGAAGGGGGACTATGGCTCAAAGCAAATTGCTATTGATACAGCAGTGGCAAGGGAACCTTTTATTCGATCAGACTAAAATGTTAAGTCTATTTAACGAGAGCTGTATTGGTGTATAAAAAAAATTGGACATGAACAGGAAGCTTTATATTACAGGATGACCCAGTGGCATGCAAAAGGTGGAGCCGACGGGGCGGGGCCCCGATTATCCATCTGAGGGCGGCATCCACAGAAACCCTCTGTCCATGACCACTGAAGGAGCAGAATCCGTCTGTAATTGATATGTGATTAAAAGTTTAAGTCGCGTTTAAAGTTTAAAGCATGTGTGTCCAAGTCAAGGCCTGCGGGCCAGATCTGGCCTGTCAGATTATTTTATGTGGCCCACGAAAGCAAATCAAACATGTCAACTTCGATGATGCTTGCTAGAATCTGTACCAATGTTTCAAATTCTCATATGTAATAAATAAGGCAGATATTGTAAGCATTTTCTTGTTACCCCTCATTACAGTAACTGAAACAATTGTTTAATTAAACCCTTATTCTTGACTTCTGCATATGGTTTCACATTCATAACGGCCGGTAAGTCAGAGTTTTGCCCAGGTAACAATTGAAATTGAACTTTTGTCCAAGTTTTGACTGTACAGATTTAAATGGCCTGGCCTGAAATAGTTTAGTTGTCCAAAGCATTTGTTATTCCATCCCAAAATTTGTTAAATGGCATTATTAAAAAAACAGATGTATCACCCATTGGGTGGGTTGCAATCACTTTAGGTCACGCTCTAGTTGTAATAATCATAACAATCTTGTCAGTGGACTGATTGCTGTGGAATAATTTAAACTAACATATCTAGAGAACTTGGGAACAGCAGTACACCAAAAGGAGGAAAAAAAGAGATTGAATAAGATGAAGAGAAACAAATGAAGGTCCATCATACATTTCCAAAGGATGAATGGAGTTGTGATGTGATGGCAAATACAACCTTTTGGCCTGATTTATTAAGGGTTTGTGTGTATGTGCAAAAACTGGCGCTCACACAAACAGATGTGGAAGCTGGTTTTATAGCTGAGCGCATAGAGGATTCTGTCTGCCAATTATGCTGCGCAATTCATTTTGCAAGGAGAAAACCATCGGAGCGACCTAGAGCACCAACCGCTCTTTTAAATACTACACGCTCCACCATTTTTACACTTGTTGCTTACTGTGCATGCCGTCCATTATCATGAGTGAACATGCAATTTAGCGCCTGCTCTTTGAGATCTTGGAAAAAGGTTACAATCTTAGTTGCTCATGTGTGACACACCCACCAACTGTACATGCAATCTGGTGAGTGACAACCAATTGTGTGCCTGCTCTTTGGTGTCTTAATAAATCAGGACCTTTGTGTATTCAGAACCAATTCAAATTAGGGGGGAACACAACAAATGATTCAATATGTTTTAGACGTCCAGCTATAGGATGTTGGTTTCTGTATTCAGAATCAACAGTTTATTATTCAGAGCAGAATCTTACCCTCCTGCAGTAACTGGCACAGAAAAAAAAGGTCATCCACAAGATTTGTCGAACTTGGTTGGGGCTGACTGTCATGTACCCAAGGTAACGTCATGACCGAACAGCACTTCCCACAATTTTCTGGGGGCGGGGCAAGCCACCGGGCAGGGGAGCCTCTCTACATTGTGATCCAGCATGGTTCCGCATAGTCATTGTCTGGTCTTCGAATCGAAATGAGCAGAGCAGCCTTCGGGCCAGATGCCACATCTTCTCAACCAGGTGAATTATATTACACGCGCGCGTGCGCAGACACACACACACACACACACACACACACACACGCACACACACACACACACACACACACACACACACACTGTATTTTCCACACTATAAGGTGCTTCGGAGTATAAGGCACACCTTCAGTGAATGGCCTGTTTTAAAACTCTTTTCATGTATTGGCACACCGCATTCATTATGAGGCGCATAGAACATAAACCACAATAGTAGCTGCAGTTGTGTTATACATCCACTAGATGGGGCTACGCTAAATTACAATACAATACAGCTTTATTTATAGAGAGCTTTCACAACTGCTGCAGTTGTAACAAAGCGCTTTACAGAGCATTTAAAATGCTACATCCAAGAAATCAGAATATTGATCCCTATATAAAGCCCATCGGATTACAAGGCTTTTGAGAAAATGTAATGCTTTTTTAGTGTGTGTGTGTGTGTGTGTGTGTATATATATATATATATAGTTTTCTTTGATACTTGTTGAACGGAACAATTGAAACTTTACGGGCATCTTTCTTTTAAACCTTCTCATGGAAACAATTCTCAAATCTTTATGCCAAGAGGTTTTGCTCTCCCCAAGAGGACCACACTTCACAAGCACTGATTTGTGAGGCCTCATGGAGGTAATTCAAGCAGGGTATTTTGCTCAGAGATGATACGCCAAAGGCGTACAACTAATGGCTTCATCAAACCACAACATATTTTGGGGCGATTACAAGCATGTTTTCTTCCCTCGTAAGATAAGGACTACATCTTGCCACTCTAGGTAATGTCCCTGACCAGTTCTCTTCTTGTTTTTTCGTAGGTTTTTTTAAGGAGCAACCAGATTTTAGTAATGTTTATACTGTGCCATATTTTCTCCATTTGATGATTGTTTTTACTGGGTTCCAGCATATATTTCTGTAAAGCCATGGACATTTTTTGTACCCTTCTCCTAACTGAAAAAGTTATACAAAGAGATCCCTCTGGTGCTGTGGAAGATCTCTCCGGGTCATATGACTTGTACTGTAAGATGCGACGACAAAAAGTTCAGGAAAAGACGACTAGAACAGCTGAACTTTATTTGGGGCTTATCAAAGGCACTTTAAATGGTGGCAGGTGTGCTTGCTCCCTTTAAACATGAGTTTGAAAGTGGTTGGTTCATTCTGAACATGGTCGTACACTCTTGAAACTGCATTATCTCAGTTATTAATTTGTATTTTCCTAAATGTAATGTTTTTTTCTCAGTTGAGTTGTACAGATTGAAGGTCTCATTAATGGTGTTCATCTTGCTCTAATTTTCCAAAAAAATGGAATTTGAAGAGGGATTTGTACACTTTTCATACCCAAAGTACACGATGCCTCATATCACTAAATTGACATTGTGACAAGCTAAATGTTTCGATAAAAAAATCTCGATCTGTTACCATGTTTTAAAGGTGCCTGCCACCATAAAGGACAGGATTGATTGATTATTTTTTTAGTCATAACAGTTATCTAACTATCCATTTATCACTTATCCGGGTGTGCTGGAGCCTATCCTCGCTGTCTTTGGGGAAATATCAAACCATGAAAAAAAATCATGGCTTTCAAGGTTGTTCAAATATCTCTTCCTATCAGTTTGTATAGAAACTCAAAAAGTCCTTATTTAAAGAAATTAGATCATTTCTAACTATTCAAAACACTCCCATTTGCACCCAGATCAACTATTTTCATGAAAGTAGTTGGATAAGCTACACTTGATCACTCCGGTCTTACAATCAGGCATTGTAATTCACCTTTTAGGGCAACGTATTGTTTCTGCAAATACACTTGCAGATGTTGTCATAACTTATCCTTGTTTATGACCCATAAGAAACCTTATACAATACTATCCATCTTTATTTATGTAGCACTTTCACAACAGCGGCAGCTGTAACAAAGCGCCTTGCAGCAGAACGCATAATATAAAACCTTGCACGCAACTTCCTTGAAATGAAAAGAAGACACAACATCTGTACATGAATCAATTTCACTTGTGATAGAAACTATTTTGCATTGTGGGTAAACCACGTTCTCATTCCTCTGACAAAATGCAAGGCAGGCATAGAGACCATGCATTGCAGGCCCCAAGAGCCTGTTCTCGTATCTGTTTCAAACACATTGAAGTGTCTCTGGCTTAGAAATAATTCCTCATTTAAAAATCCATCCATCCATTTTCTCTGCCGCTTATCCTCATGCGGGTTACGGATGAGCTGTAGCCTATTTCGGCTGTTTTTTTTAGGCAAGGGCGGGGTCCACCCCTGTGCTGGTTAATCACATGATACATATCGAAAAGCAATCGTTTACAAGGATGGGCAATTTAGAGTCTTCAAATGATTTAAGTAGAAGTTAAAACCGGGATCTGCTGACTGAGGCAAACATGCTAAACACTATCTACCATGCTGTTTCATGAACAGGTGATTTTGTTACATGCATCTTCAGTGTTTTATGGCGATATCATTCAACATTGAAACATAAAGAGTGGCACCTTCCGCATTTTAAAGATGTCAACTAGTTGAGAAGATGTGGTACGAAAAGTAAGATATCAAACAGGCAGGGTGAGTGATCTCACTTAATGTTAATCGTAAGGGGTCTCAGTATTTAAATTAAGCATATGCAGATACAGAACATGCAGGATAATAATTTACATTAAAAATAAATAAATCCTTTGCTGAAACCCCAAAGCACGCTGATTAATTAGACACTACCAATGAACCATCTTAACTCCATGCACAGAGGCCCCCATGCATGGTCATGGCCCTGGGACAAGTGCAAGATTGACCCCCAGCAAAAAGTGGGACATGTGTTCGAAAAAAGGGGCAGGCAGAGGCGTCTACCTTGCTGCATGAGAGCTCCAACTCCGAACCAGAAACTATTAAGCAGGGTGAAATTGTTTTCCACTACATCCGAGTCAGGGTTGCAAGGGTGAGGGTTATACCACTCGTAGGGACTAAACCTGTGACAATTGACAAAGAACACACACAGGTTTAATGCAGTTGCATGAATACACATTTGAAAAAGGGCAGATACTTTTTAAGGCCATCAGACCTACGGAAGACGGGAGAAAAACAAACAATTAGTCATTTTCAGTGATGATTTCCTGCTTAAATAGTGCTAGTCATATAATCTGACTTCAATTAGAGACTTGATGATTCTCTGATCGCAAGGTGACTACTGTATAAAGTTTTGTGTAAATCAGATTGCAATTTCTTCAAATTGCGATGAGATTTTGAATGGGATTGTGTCACTCACTAACTCTGGGGTGGGCAACTCTGATCTTCAAGGGCCACTATCCTGCATTTTTGGGATGTGTCCCTGCTCTAGCACACCGATTCAAGCTGATCATTTGAATGCAAGATAGTGGTCCTCGAGGAAGACCGTAGTGTTGCCCAACCCTGCTCTAATCCTAATACAACACAATTTGGGGAATAGGTTTGAACTGATACTCCTCATACCATATCAAAGCCAAGTCCTGGAACTAATTCAATCAATGCATTCAGAAAATAAATTCATTGTCATACCAGCAGATCAAAATGTTCATTCCCATTATGCCAACTTTGACCTTTGTGATTTCACCACTCAACACGGTCCGCAAGCAAATACATTTCTCATTTATTCGTGTTGAATAAAAGTGATACTACATAGGCAAAGGTTGATTGGTCTACAATTAAATATACTAACCAGGTTTGATTTGTTCTGGGGATCGGAACTCCGAGCCATCTTAACACACACACATGGATGACTGATCAAATGCCAATGCATGGCATACACTTGTGTCACTCTGGTCCTCTTACTTTGCATTTCAATTCAAATTAAATCAGTTGCAATTAACACCACAATACAATGACATGTAGCTCTGTATCCTAACGGCAGGCCGTAATCAAGTCCGAATGAGGTTTGCGCCGCTTTCTTTTTCACCCCATGGCACTCACAAATATTGACAAGTGGAGTTCAATGTTCTATTAATGTTCTGATGATTGTCAGTGAATCTGCTCATTCAATTGGCCGAAGATCTGCTTCTTTGTCAATTTCCAAACTAACATGAACTGAGCCGTGCCCGCATGTCGTGATGTGACCCAGTTCCTCTCGCAAATGTCAGCGTGTTTGCTCCTCATCATGTTGTCAACAGACAATTACCACGTGCCGTGACAATGGATGAGCAAAGTTGTCATCTGCACCATGCACAGGGTGGACTGCGAATGAACTGTTTTGCGGTTGCTATTTTGTCCCAAAAAAGAAATGCCATTTAGAGGAGGCAACACAACTAGACCCTTCTTTCATTGTGGCATTGTTTATCTCCTCTGCTGTCATTTCAATTAAACTGTCCTTGCATTATCTGAGGTCATCTGCTGTGCAGTGAGAGATATTTAGTGCAAGGTCAGATAAGCACGGATGGAAAGAAATCACTTGCAGTATGTGAGGAATGTCCAACTTTTATCATTTCATAGGGGCAGGGTCATCCCACAGAAATGTCAAGGTAGATGAATCATCATCGTTCTATTGCTTTGTCACATGACAAGAGCCTTTATATTTCTCAATGTGAAATTGGGACCACGAGCCTGGATTCTGCAATGTGCATCGAGCCATTATGATTGCATCCTCTTTTTGTGATTTCAAAAGGGCTATAATAGCCTTGACTCTGAAAATAACACATTGGTTTTCCCTACATCAAGTCAAGCCAACTTTATTGTCAAATGTGCTACATGTGCAACATACAGCACAGATGAAATTACATTCCTCAGGAGAGAGAGGAGCCGCTGCGGGTGCCCGCGCCGCCATCAAAAGAACAGATAACATAAAATGACACAATCCAGATGTATTTGTATTCTATGTATTTGTAAAATTATTCTTTGGAAAATGAGGCAATCATGGCACAATATAAAAGATGATTATTGTGACATATTTTAAAAGCGCATGAGTGGTAGAGGTGAAATTATGGGACAAAACGATGTGTCACTCCCACTGACTAGATGGCTGTCGCTCGGAGAAAAATGTAATTGTTGATTGCCTCCAGGAATGTCCAACTTTTATCATTTCATAGGGGCAGGGTCATCCCACAGAAATGTCAAGGTAGATGAATCATCATCGTTCTATTGCTTTGTCACATGACAAGAGCCTTTATATTTCTCAATGTGAAATTGGGACCACGAGCCTGGATTCTGCAATGTGCATCGAGCCATTATGATTGCATCCTCTTTTTGTGATTTCAAAAGGGCTATAATAGCCTTGACTCTGAAAATAACACATTGGTTTTCCCTACATCAAGTCAAGCCAACTTTATTGTCAAATGTGCTACATGTGCAACATACAGCACAGATGAAATTACATTCCTCAGGAGAGAGAGGAGCCGCTGCGGGTGCCCGCGCCGCCATCAAAAGAACAGATAACATAAAATGACACAATCCAGATGTATTTGTATTCTATGTATTTGTAAAATTATTCTTTGGAAAATGAGGCAATCATGGCACAATATAAAAGATGATTATTGTGACATATTTTAAAAGCGCATGAGTGGTAGAGGTGAAATTATGGGACAAAACGATGTGTCACTCCCACTGACTAGATGGCTGTCGCTCGGAGAAAAATGTAATTGTTGATTGCCTCCACCCAATCTATCCATTTCCAATCGTGCTTATCTTCATTAGGGTCGCGGGAGCACTGGATTTTATCCCAGCTAACTTCAATCCTGTTAATACCAGCAAAAGCGGACTCACCAGACACATGGACAATTTAGAGTCTTCTTTTAATTTATTTCGTGTGTTTTTCGTGTGTTTGTAATCTTGTGAGGCAAATGTGCTCTTGACTATTGCACTTTGCTGTCCCAAAAATATTCATCTTGTACTACTCTGTCTAATGTAGACAATAGGGAAAATTGAAATCAGTGGTGTAGTTAAATGTGCAACCGTGGACTGCAAAGACTTGAAAAAAATGGCTGCACTTTCATTTTGATTTTGATTATTCTTCGTCTCATTCATAAAATCAGTCACACAAGAGAGCACAGACAAAACCATATTGCGCATATATACGTGGATTTGTATCAATTACTAATTACTAAGTGGGGCCTCACAATTTTGTGTTTTGTGACATGAGCAGACGTTTATAGTGGTCCTTGAACCACATGAATTAAAATTCATATTTCCCCATGAGATAATTAGTCAAGGCATGGGGTAAGGCAGCTGGTGCTTGGTGAGCAGTTTCTGATATGAATTACAAAACGGTTCTCCTATGATTTTTTTTTTTTTTTTTTTGGTTCTGTTTTATTTTGAAACCTTTGCCGCTCTGTTTCCTGGGTTGTTGCAGATTTTGTTCAGCTGCTGGCTGTGGTCAGGTGTTCTGAGCTCCTCGCGCAGCTGTCTCCTATCTCTCATCACCCTCAGTGTTTTAGCACCGATCTAACTTCCGCTCCCCTGCCAGACATCTCTTTACGTTCACGGTGTCGCTTGTGACTGACTCCGAGTAGTTTCCTGATGCTGTCCTTTACCTTGATTGTTTTTCTGTCTTGCTCATAGTTTTGCTCGTGATTTTTCATTAATTCCTTTGTTCTTGTTGGAGAGTTTTTCCTGGAATTTTCTACGTGCCTGTAGTTTGAACTGATTGCCTCTTTTTTTTGTCCTTTTTCAGCCTATTCATGTTGAGAGCTCAGGCTCTGAGCTCAGTCGGTTTGTTACTTTGAGTTTTCTGCTTTGCCTGCTGCTTTTGACTTCATTAATAAAGTTTCATTTGATACTTTTGAGTTTGTGTCTGCTTCTGGGTCCAACTTCCACCTATCGGCTCATGGTTTCTCTAGGATTCTGCATATAAATGAGCAACGTTGTTGTTTTTAGTCACTTTTAGCATGTCCTGTGAACTTGGGTTGTGACAAAAAAAAAAACAAACTGATGTTGCATCGAAATCTCTCACTGAAGCATAATAAATGTGCGTTTTTAAATTATGTATGCTTAATGTGCAAGAAGACTTGGTTTTGGAATTGGTTTTGTTTTTTCAGTTCCAGAAATATAGATGGTGTGATGTATTGCATTTTTTGTGTAGTTGAAAATACTAACGGTATCTACAGAAAGCTGAAATTTAAAAATGTTTTCATGACAAAATATACATGCATGGTGCATTACAGTGTGTGGGTGTTTTTTTTTTTGTTTTTTTTTTTTGTGTTGTACTGATTTTGCACATTAAGCAGTTACACTTTTCTTGCTGCTAGACTATCTACTAGTTGAACACATTTCTTTCGTCATGGGGAAACAAACTCTTTTCATCCTGTCCAAGTTGATACATTATTCATACTGTATCTAACGTATGACATAAAATGTTATGACACTCTCATTTGCATCTCAGTAACAAAATTGTGCAACTGCCCGTCATATATTTGTGTTTAGGAACAAAGACTTACAGAGAGGGGAGTGTGCGCACTTACCAAAACCCTTATTAAATACAGTAGGTGCATATTCTGAGCCAACTTAGATGACAGTTGCTGCCTTTTATTTTTGGTGTAATCATAATGCCAGTAACATCAGCAAACAGACGTGTTAACAGTAAAACTGTGCAGCCATGGCTGCAAGCTTGCCAATGTGTGCTGGAAGTTTTACAGTTAACATGGACTTTTCTTTTACTCTGCATGCTTCGAACTATAGCTTCACAGCCACACACCCCAGAACCCAAAAATACATGGTGCAAATACTTAACTGTAAATGTGTTCATGTCCGTTTGTGATAATCCGTGAAGTACAAAGCCTCCCAATTCTCCAACATAACAGTGTTTTAAATACTGGAGCTACATGAAAAGTGCTTATAAAGCATCACTACTCTTAACTACAACGTTCACACCGATATGCGATATGATGCTGAGATACGATTCACTTTTAAATAATACACCGATTACCACTGCTTTATTCAAAAGGTTCTACTTTATCTATTTGGTTGACATTTTGTCTCGTGTTGTAAATCATTGTGGGGCGTTTGCGCAATTACACGACCAATGGGATACCCTGAAAATAGACAAAGTTAACTTACATGGAAAACCACTTTTCACTACCTGGTATTTAGGTTTCTTGTTACACTCCTGCTCACTCATTTGTGTGTTTCCATTGTCAAATTCAGGTACTACGAGATACTACAAGACGAATGCCCTGGAACGGTACCCGTTTCCACAGTCATTGCTCTCTTGCTTGCCATTATTTTTGGGGTCACAAGGCACATTTTCTCTCTCCCTTTATTTCTACAATATGTTCGCGGCCCGGTGAAAGAGAGAGAAAAGACGGTAAATCCACCGAGAGACTGGGAATCGAGAGGAGAGGTTGGGAGAAGTGCAGCATCCCACAAACATTCATATGAGTGCACAACTTTCCTGTCACAATCTCAGACACATACACGCAACCCTAAAGTGTGTGCGCAAATTCAGTGTAAGGGCAGTGTTTCTCTGTTTGTCAGGGTGTACGAGGTTTTCATCTTCCTGGTACCATTGTGAATAGAAATAGGCCAGGAGTAACCTTGCAGCCTCGCTCAGGGTCAATATAAAAAAAATGGATTCTTGAAAGAAATAATTTTCCAAGCAATGCAGATTCCATATGATGGTCGAGTTGCGTTAAACACATTACGCGCGACAGTGATGTAGCATCTGAGACCGCACACATGACCATCAGTTTTAGTCAGTTCATGGATGCTTCACCAATTCAGCATGCTCAGGATACCGCTTCTGTAATTACTGAGAGTAGCCTGTTGTTAGTCATAAAGGCAATGGTGAGTGGCAGCATTGAAGCAAGATACTGACTGATGTGTGATCGCTGACGGTGACATGTTACCTGGCTATGACAAACAGCACACAACTGACACCCAAGTAAGCCAGCAGAATATACATCCAGATATCGGGCGAGAGGGGGTTGAGGAAGGAGAAGACCCCTGGGTTGGTCCCATTTGGCTTGCGGTAGAGTATACTTATACCCAATGTCATGAAGGGCTTGGAGAAGTCAATAACCTTCTCACGCACGAATGTGATGGCAAGAGGCGCCACCGCCAGATCAGCTCTCTGTCAATAAACAAAAAAATGGAAGAAGGACAGGCCATTAGTTAAGGGCACAGGAAATGTTTAGAGGCAATTAAATTAAGAAAACAGAATCTTTAGATTGTCCATGTTCATTTTCAAAGCACTCTGATAGATATTTCAAGCAGAAATTGTTTTGTTTTAGTACATTTTTGGGAACGCTGTAATATTGCAATGTTGGTCTTTGCTGGGAGCAGAATTTCTGTGTTTACACTCACACTGTTTGAACAAATATGCACATTTCTAATCACACGACAGTCATTTTATTTACTACACTCATGAAATGACGACACTGTTTATTTCACAAATTGCCTCTCCTGTGGCTCGGTGAGAGCTCAGTGGTCCTGCTCCGGCTCCCCGGCATCTCGGTGCCAAGGCGAGCAACCAACCGTATGCGGCAGGAGTACAGGAGTCAAAGGGACTGGAGGAGTGCTAGATAGGAACAGGTGAGTGGGGCTTTGAGCTACCATGGAACTGTAACAGAGGCCTTCAGTTGCCGGCTTTGCTACCATTCCAAAAGAAACCAAGGAAACTGAAGGTAGCCGCACTAGGGAATGTGAGTCAACTGGCTCTAAATAGACACGGTAAGTGTCATGGCTAGCACACGATGAGTTGGCATACGGTTCCATTTGGGACTATTTGTTTGGTCTTATTTTTTTGCTGATTTAGGCTGATGTCATTGTTTGGTGTTGCCTCATATGTCATCCAGTTCCCCTCTGTCTGCTCCTTTTGTTGTCAGGCAATCAGATGCTACTAGTGTCTGGCTCATCCACGTTATTGAGTGTCTGTGTATTTAGTTCCCCTGTTTGTTTGTTTTTTTGTTTGTTTTTTTACGTTTGCCTCCTGAGCTTTTGTACTAGCATTACGAGCAATTACTTAATCATTTTTCAATCTGAACCAGCCACTCTTTTTTTGATGTTACAGCTACTGTGACACACACAATTTGTACTGTGTATTGATCAAGGGCAGACGTCCGAGTTAAGAAGTACTTGACAGCTATTGGGTGTTACTTCTAATGGGTCAGATATTGACTGTGCAGTGGTTGCTATTTTTCTATTTGTGCAGTTTATCCTATTTGGGTTGTTGGGAGCAATTACTGGTAACTGCGATCAGATTGTGTATGTTTTAATAGGGTCTACAGGGGAAACAACTCATGACAGGATCTATGCTCTCCTGACAGCACTTGACTCTTCTTTCATCTATACAGTCGCTACCAGTTACCTTTAATTCCCTTGTCTTTGGCTCTGACAATGCATCCCGGAATGTTTTTGCTGATTATTAGCGTAGATCAATTCAAATCTGACTGTTTTAGACGTGTTTGGTCAATATCGGTATTCTCAATGAATGAAGAAGTACAGTAATTAGGTATTAAAGAGTTGTTGGTTTTAGAGTTACAAATATACAACAATTATAATTTGATTCTTGAGGAAACCCGCCCCCCCCCACGATATTTGTAAAAACTGTGTTTTTACAAGAAGGCATATTTATGTTTGGTCGCTCCATTATTTAGTTGTGGGCAACGTTGGTGATTACAAGGGACACCGTTAATTAAAGAACAGATTAAATGTTTCCACAGAGGTGAAACTTGTGCAATTAAAAGTAAAAACAAATAAACTACTGAGGAGATCAATTTCAATAACTCATCATACGATACAATTCAAATAAACGCCCAGTAGCTTTAAATAGGAGTAGCTGACTCCCTTAATGATAAATTAATAACTGTAACTACAGTCTGAATAAAATTATGCTAATGTTTTTTTCTGGGTGAGTAGATTGGTGCAAATAAGCGATTGAGCACATGGGACTGCTGCTGCTTGGCCTGACCTGATTGTGAACAAATTTGTATTTTGTTCTTACAGCATGTGCTACAGTTGATATAAATTAGCCTCGGTATCTGTTAATTCTTATTGAATTTGTCTTGGAGAGTGTCCAGCTTTGCATAATTGTGAACATTCCTCTGCTAAACGTCACATGGAGCTTTCCCACGTCTTTGCAAAGCTACACTCAAAACGTTTTTTTTTTCCTCGATTTGTTTTTTCCAATAACATCCTATAACTAACATGTTAGGTAAAATTGCATAAAACATAGGTTGGTGGTTACTGAAAATACGGGTAAAACTTACATGGTCCATTAGCTCCTTAACCATGCCATTCCACTGGCCTGTGGTTTCTTCCTGGGCACCGTATTTTCCATCTTCTACTAAGCGGATTTCATAGGTAAAGCCCAAGATGTTGGAAAGCTCTCTCAGCAGGTCGATGCAGTAGCCCTCAAAGCGGTCATTCCCATACAGAGGCTTATCAGACTTCTTGAACATCACATACGGCTCCTCCTGTGAAACATGGGAGAAAGAATCTGCATTGCCTGGCGTCTTATACCACCTCATAATAATTGGAGATTGTGTGTACTGTATTGTATGACATTTGTGTCAGCCTACTGTATTGTGTTTGCTTAGAAATTGTTTTCACGTCATGAGGTTACCACATGAAATGAGTTTGGGAGTGCAGAATGGCCACAAAAACATATACCGTAGTACTCCCACATTACCAGTACATACGTTTTCCTTTTTTATTAATATTGTGTATTTTATCTGGACCAACACATTTGTTGTTGTTTTTCGTTCAATCGATCAGAAGTAGCCCATTAGTGTGTAATTGACGATGAGACCACATGAACTGACTCACTGAAATGACTCATTTTAATTTTTTCTCAAGGGGCCACCACCATGAGCTACATCTTGCTCCAATAGATAAGGTTCTGCAGGTTCAACGTCATCCAGGTTGGGTATGTGATGATGTGGAGCTGGATTTTATCAGCAAAAGAGTGAAAGGTCAGTGTATTTTAGGGAATAATCTGACCAAGGAAGAACATGTCCTGTACCTAGTGAAAGGAGGGGTCCAAGTACAGAGCCTTTTGGTACGTCTTGGCTGACTGGAGTAGAAGTCGATGTGGAGCGAAGGATGGGGACAAACTGTTCTCTGTTGGACAGGTCGGCTGCAGTGGGGGTCTGATGCCACATTTAAAGGGTTTATAGAGCTCCTTGTTGGATATAGATTGGAGAAGTTGGTCACTGACTGCTCTTTCTAGGATCTTGCTGAGGAAAGGAATGTTGGAAATTGTACAGGCGGGGTCGGGGGTGGGGTTACCAGGCTTTTGAGGATAGATGTGACTAAGGCTGTTTTTAAATTTAAAGGTAAAATGCCAGAATCAAGGGGGGACTTGATGATATTGACAATAGTTTTGCAAAAGACGGTATGCTTGACTTAACGAGGCAGTGGGCGGAGGGTGCACGGAGTGGGTGAAGGCTTTGGCCCTCGTGATAAAATTGGTGCATCTACCATAATGAAGGAAGAAAGATAAATCTGAGATCAGTGAGCAAAGCAGGTGGTGACCAGAGTCTGTGGGTTGGGAGGTCGCGGTGTTCAGAAGCTATTAGTGGAAGGAGACTTTGACTTGAAAGGAATCCATGAATGTGGTGCAGATGCCGGGGTCGATTGAGGAGTGAGCAAGGTGAGTAGAGTGGAGAAAAAGGTTAATGGTTTGAAGTGGCTCCTTGGGTTGCTTTGCTGGTCACATAAGAAGAGTGAGGAGTATATTTTGGTGTGTCAAAGGGCATCACGGCTGGCCTGCAGGTGGACAGTGAAGTGAGATCTTCTGTTTCTAGTTTCCATCAATAGGTCTTTATGTCCCATAACTTTGAGATCAACAAGGAGAGAGGAGACATCCAAATGGCAAGGGAATTCAGGCAAAGAGATATTCCGTGCTGTAGTGCGCTCTAAGACACCGCCGTTTATCTTGGAGCTGACGTGTCTGAAGGTTTAAATGATAGGTGACTTGGCAGGATTGTGGTTAGGGCTGTTTTAATTGTTTTGGTGTTCTGAAGGTCATTGAGCGTTTAATGCAAAGTCTGGTCTGGGCAACGTGAACGGGGAAAAGAATGATTTGATTTTTCCAGACAGTGGGGTTGAGCTACTGTAGATCGGAGGGAGTAATGCTGGTAGAGCAGATCAGATCCAATGTGTGGCTAAGGCCATTGATATATTCTGCAGTGTTGAAGTCACTCAGTGGTGAGAGAAATTCAATGGCTGATGCAGTCTTGTTTTAAAAACCTAGCAGAAAGCTCAAAATGGAGATGAAGTGAAGATGGAGCTCAAGAGCTCCTGTGGAAGGGGGAAGAGGCTTTGAGAGTCAGTGCATATGTATCACTTGGAAGCCACAATGAAAGCAAGGTCTTCCGTCGGGGTGGTCTTTGGTGTTGACAGATCTTTAAGAACAAAGTATGTCTCGTGAATCATAGCCAACCCACCAACACGATCCACAGAACGAGGTTTAGAAGTTACGCAAAATCTGGTGGTGTGGCTGGTTATGCATTAGGAAATCCATTAATACATTTCCATTCATTTAAATGTTGGAGATGGATTTGTTACACAAGTAAACTGAGTGTCACACAGGCAAATTTAGTTCCAGCAAACCTATATTTTACCTTATATTATCTTACACAACCCTTCCCTCCCCATTTTTGTGTTAAGGGAGGTTGCATGGTCAGTGTTCCACGAAGACATTGCACACTGTAATCTCCACTACATAAGGTTTCACCCCATTACAGTAGTGATTTCTAAAGTTCATAAAATGTTGCAGGGCCAAGATCTTAACAGTAATTACATCATGTTTTATAGTACATAATTCCTGTGAACATGAGGAGAAGCTGCATGAAAGTAGGCATCAATCAAATGTAACCAACCCAATTATTGTCAGCCCTCCCTGCTTTCCTCGGTGTTCACAACCCATCAAACACCTCCCCATGACTTCATCCTAATATGGCAATTACTTCCACAAAGTTGTTAATAATGGCAATCCAATCACTTCACAGCATGCTCAGGAGGAAAGGAGGCCCATGAGAATGACAACTCACAACTAACTTGATATTGCTATTTTTACACTTGCCTCACAAATGACAAAAAGGCTTTTTTTTCCAAAAAAATATTATTTAAACACTCGATTCCCAATGCTTGTCAGCTGTAGCTTATGTACAGGGACAATGTTACAAAAAAATAAAAAATAACCACAATTGGTGGTCAAACAGCTGTTTCACAGAGAGAAGATTGAAGAATGTGGATTCGCTCTCATCTTATTGTGGTATAATATTGATGTTTCAAATATCAAACATTATTACCGACAAAGGATGATGCTGCTTGTTGGCACCTATCACAATATGGCTGATGAATTCATTGACGGAAAGCAGAACCATAACTTTAGCATTCAGTTCCAACCGTCTGAACTTGAAACCTTAACTCCCAATCAAACTGGCAATTTGAGAGCACTGTGTGCCATCTCCTGAAACGGACAGCACAATCCCCCCAAAGCTGCTCTCAAACTGAGAGGCAGCTTAAGGAAAAGCAGTGGGAGATTTTTCAAGTGGGAAAGCTATAAAATAATGACATCTATGTGTAACGGAGTGATATATTGTGTTTATTAAATTACCGCGGAAGTGACGCAACAGCGCACAGTATGGCATTAGCTTCCGCTGTAGTTCAGGCAGAGCTGCCAGGGAAGTCACATATGGATGAAGTTTGTCATGGCTGAGGATCTTTCTTTCCAGTCACCCACCCAACTCACCCAAAAGCAAAGAGGAGTAAATTGAAATTAATCAAAAAATAAATAAGCAAAGGGAAGTAAACTGAATTAATTTGAAATCAGCTTTCCGACCCAGGCAGAGCGGCAACATTCGTGCGTCCCCTGCGTTGGATTACCTCTTGACTTGTAACAAGTCTCAATTTATGATGACAGGAGTAGTACTATGAAAGGGATTTGAAAATAAAAGGATTCCATGGTTGAGTAACAAATTTGAATTAAAAAAAAGAGCAAAAAAAAATCATCAAAACCATATAAAAGAGCAGTAAGAACATGAAAAAAAACAATTATTTCAAGTTAAAATAAAGCAGGAAAGCCCCTTTTTTGTGGAGAAAAGTGAAACATGGGTAAGTCTGTTATAGAAATAAAAAAATTTGTGTTTTATGTTACACCTTACACTCATTTACAATGACATTTTCTTGTGATATGAAGGAAATGTGAAGAATTTGACAGTTTGACACTTCTTGATGAGCTGTCAAACTACTGAACACTAAAATAAAAAGTGGCCAAAGGAAACCGTCGCTTGATCATTGAGTAAAATCCAGGTACACTCTTGTCGGTCATGGGAGGAAGCTGCACATATTTAGAATTGACAACTAGCACTGAACATGGAACAGCAAACATTGATTGAAATTGAAATCAATTCTTGCTTCATACCATTCCAAATGATCATAATAAATGCTCCCATCTTTAGCTGATCGGTATACTGCTCGGTGTCTGTGGGTGGGGGAATGGATTTATTGATGTCACCCAAAAGAACTTTGTAAACATGTCATAATGAGAGATGAACAAGATCAAATACCAGTATAGTTGAGATGATGAGGGACCGGTTGGATAAAGAATCCGATACGTTAGTCGTCTTCCCTCTCTGGTTGTCCGTCATGTTCAGGCCACTTGGAGGGTCCCATGTGCCAATCTATCGAAAGCCATTCATTCATTACTTGTGAGTTTGCTCATGAAACCTTCCATCAAGAATTACTCTAAACACAAGTTCAGTGGTAAACAAATTGTTACCACCCGCCGATAATGACGGGGTGGTAACAAGAAAAGGCTTACAGTATCTCTTATTTTAGTGAGCATTATAGAAGTTAACATGTTTGATTTGCTCTTGCAGGCCACATAAAATGATGTGGCGGGCCAGATCTGGGCCCAGGGCCTTGATTTTACCTCCTGTGATGTGCAGTATACTCACAACATAGCTAAAATGCATTTTTAAAATGTACCAAAATAAATGAACAAAACAACACAAAACAAAATACCCAACATAGTCCACCATATTGGAATTATCCAGGGGCATATCCCTTTTCAAAAGCGTAGGGGGAGCCTAAGAGCACATAAATAAACGATCCCATGCTTTTGCCTTACATGTTGCTGTAATTACACAGATAATAACGCAGAACTGCAAAATTCTATTAATTTGTTATTGTTTTTAACGTATTTTTTTTACAATTCTATTTATATATATTTAAGATGCATTCAAACTGCACTTAGTTTGCACGACACCCATTGTAGTGTAAGGCAATGTTGCACTCTGCTGCCAATGAGCCTGCGCCATGCTGTGCCCTGTCAAACTTGGCCCGGTTGCTAAGCGACCGAACAGGAAGTGTTTTTCTCTAGCCTGGTGCCTTATTCCACTGGTTTGGACCAAAAGAAGCAGGCCGCAGCACGCAAGATGTATTTGTCAGCTTTTCAGTGGAAAGCCCTAACTTTTCTTCTTCTGATCTTGTAAAAGAATGGTATGAGTCTATCCCAATATAATGACACAGTAGGATCTCGGGGAGTTGAGGCTCCTCTGTGAACTTCAGCTCCAGTAAGACAGCTTTGAGGCATACTTCAGGCTAAATGGGGAGCAGTGTGACAAACTGTTTGATATGCTATATTTGATTTTAAGCTAATTGGGTTTATGGAAATGTGATTTTGAATAACCCCAACAAGAATCACACTATGAACCAACAGTAATAATAATAAAATAAGAGTGCAACAGTTTTATCTGTTGCTTTTCTGGACACTCAAAGACGTTTCACAACGGACACTCGCACGTTCACACCTGCGGCAAGCTGACAGAAGTGTGGCTGCCGGTATGCGCCTACGGCCGCTCCGAGCACCGGTACCAAACATTTACACCTGGCTGGAGGCAAGGCGGATGAAGCGTCTTGCCCAAGTACACAAAGACTTGGACAGAGTGGGTTCAAACAGCCAACCCTTTGGTTACCGGATGACCCACTCTACTTCCTGAGCTCCGGCCGCCTCTAAGATTTTTTTTCCTCCCTGGATACATTGCATTAGAAAATGTGTTGAAGCCTGAGGCCAGTTGACAGGATGTCACGCTGCCTTCCGGCGCACCATGGGGAGAAAAGTTAAAGATTAAATTGGAGCTAAATTGGCTTTGTGGTTTTTGTGTGGTTATTCAAAGAAAATAGTGATAAAGATCAAAGGCGACAAAAGAATTGGTGTGGCTCTTAATTATCCTCAGGCCTCTTATGTCCTTTCTCAAAAATGGAAAACCCTCCCATCGCTAACCCTTTGTCCTGTCGAACCAACCTGCCCATCGTGTCATGACGAAGGAGCACAAACACTCCAAACCGCATCCGCCAAAGTCCCCTTGGGGCTCTTCGTATTTGACTGACTCGAGATAGGCTTTGTAATTGCAAATCAACTCTTTAATTCAGACTTCATGAGGGTGGAGGGCTTCTGAAGGGTTTTCTAATAATGGACTAAATAATTCATCGAGGTGCATGCACACGCAGGCCGCAGGTCGAGCACTGCTGCAGTGTGGATGCTTAAGTGTGAAGTGTTTTTGAGTTTCGTTTGAGTATATTATTATTATCAAATATCTCAGCCGGGTGCCCGTTTGTTGATAATCTGGATCGTGATAAAACAGGAAAAAAAATGTACTTCTACTTGTTCAACTCAGTAATTAATCGCAACGTCTCTGTAGAAAGTGATTGATTGTTTTTGATTTTAATTTGTTTTTCTGAACTTGCAAACCGAAAACTGTTTTTGTTTGGGGTTTTTTGTTTTGTTTTTTCCTTTTGCCATAATGAAACTTAACCCTTGGCTTACTTCATGTTGTGTGGTCTGTGTTTTATCCTCATGTTAATTCCTGGATAGCTAAATACAATTCATTTTTATTTCCACTGAGTTGAAAGCTGTCATTGAGGCAAACTATCATTCCGTAGCTCCTCGCAAACGAGCGAGGAAGTATTAGGTGCATTCAGTTTTTTTCAATACAAATTTCACAGCGTATACAAAGTTCTTACGACACTCTCCAAGTTGTCAGACTTCAACCTCAAGTCTTGTGCATGAACACAAAGCTCTACTTACTGATTAGTTAGCCATCCACTTTATGAATTTGTGGATAAACTAGAGGGAAATTACCTTCTCCAATCCCGCCTCCTTCAGGCTGATAACATCAAGGTCGAAGTCTGTCCTCAAGCCATTGGTCCGGTTGAAAGTTATTCTCCCAGTCAGGCCATCCCAGTGGGCCTAAAGATTAAAGAAAATTGCAACAAAGGCAGACATTTGATGTGACATCAAGCCTTAATGTGTTGTTGAAATTTTCTTTGTGTCTGTGGGAAAAGAGAGACAGTATCTGAAAGATGGATGCTGATTATGTCACCCTTAACATTTTTCGAAGCGAGAGAGATAATTTACGACAACGTGACATTTGCAGAGAAGGAAATCACTTATCCTTATACAGAACAAGCAAGGAAGTTGGGGACTACAGGTTTTATTGTAAAGTTTAGCCTAAAAAAAATAGCTTGGCATGCAGACGGACCTTGTGTACTGTATTTCAAATGTGACAATTGATGTGAAATGGAATAAGCGGTATTTTTAGCTGAGGCCGTGGCACGGGTAACGTTCTCTAGCTTACATCAAGGATTTCTGCCTAATATTTTGAAAACAAGAAATTGTAATATCTTTCAAGGATCACTGGACAAGTTAGTCAGTAATCTCACTTTTATTTACAAAAAAACACAGCTATTGTGTAACCGTAGCGATGCCAGAACAAGATTGTCACAAAAAGCATGCACACGGCTTTTGTTTCCTAGCTCGTCTTTCTTTCTGTCTCTCTCTTTGTATCTCTGTCTCTCCCCCGTCCCCCACCCACCAAGAAAGTAATGCATTCAAGGACTCTGGAAAAAGTGACAAAAGAGCATGACGTGTTCGGCACAACCTTTTTACAGCGACACACAGCAATAAAACACTCACAAGCCAGTTCATTACAATATCATGTAGCCAGTTTCAAAGACAGGGATAACATGAAAAATTTACATTTATTTAGCAAACCACTAACGTCCAAACCAGCCAAAAAAAAAAAAATGTCTGCCTGCCTGAGCGTCATTCCATGACAAAATGAACAATCTTCTAGGTTCTATTATTAAAACAACACGTCTGGAGACAATTGATGTGACCAAATTACTTTAGGAGACTGATGACTCCGCTCTCTCAACTCGACCTTGTCATTTGTTTCCTCTTAAGTAATAACAGCGTGCTGGTTCAGTCTTTTGCATTCAAAGCCAGCAACTAAGTATTTTTTTAAAGCGGTAATATTGACTATTGCCATGCCATTTTTTATATGTTGGGTCCAATATTGGTTTAAATGTATGTGCTACGAATACCTGGAAGTGTGACATTTATTCATATATGTATTTTTTACCGATTACAAAACAAATGCATCAGTTTTACCCGTGAATAGTGCTGGGTTTGAGCGCAACTTCTCAACACTTAAAAATCAGCACCCAGAGCTGAAGATAAAGGCAAGGCATTTAAAGGAGGGGGGAGGGGGGGAGAAAATTTTGGGGTTGTCAAATGGTGGGTTGAAGACTTTAATTGAAAGGAAACTGAATATTTAACAGCTAGTAAATTGCGTAATTATAACCATCCACGCAAATTTTAAGGCGTATCCTCACTGTGCAATCCAAACTGGTCAGTTATCACAGTTTTCAGTTCTTTGTTTTAGTTTTCTGATTTCTGTTTGGGAGAACAAGCTCAAAATTTTTCCCTCCCTCTGTGCAACTGTGATACACTAATTGGAAATGTGGTAAATAAACAGTCATGCTATTTGATCACTGTTTGTTCCATGACATGATGCCTACACCTCATTTAAATTCAGTCTCCACCTACTTTCCTAAAAGCACGGACGAGAGAACAGGGATCAGATAATGAAACATCTACCTCTTTGATGAGGGCCATGAAGCGGTTCCCAAAGCGCCAAGGCTTATGTCGGTTACACTGTAATGAGCTGACAGTGATCTGCTGAGACTGCTGCACAGCCACGGCCACCACATGCACAGCATCGTACATTAGGGCTGCATCCGTCTGCAAGAGGAGAGAGGGGAGGGAATGGACTGTCATTCACATAAAATAAACATTGCCTGTCAGCTGAAATCTGCCCCTCTACATATATATATATATATATATATATATATATATATATGAATCATCTCAATTACATGGGTGCGGCTGAAGATGCCTGTTTGATGCTCGAGAGCCACTCTTCTGGATTCTTAGATGTTTTCCTCCTCCAACATCTGATTCAAATGATCAGGACTGTTACCAGGCTCCTGCAGAGCTTGCTGATGAGCTGATCACTTGAATCAGGTGTGCTGGAGCGGGAAGACATCTAAAATGTGCCGGATAGTGGCCCTCGAGGACCGGAGTTTGACACCCGTCTTGTAGACAGTCCACTGCGTCGGCGCAGAAAGTAATCAATGGCATTTGCATCACATAACATTTGATTGCAGCATAACCAAGACAGGGGAATGGGATTGATGATGAGTTTTACAGATATAATACTGTGCAAGAATCGATTTCTCTATTATTTCCACCTCACTTTGCATCTTCAGGAGCAGTGTTGATTTTTCTACTTGTGCATGTAGAAAGGAAGGTTGTATAAATTCTCTTGAGATGACTGAACAAATCTGGAGAGGCTTCCCACAGTGGAGTTTGTTTACACTATAGTCCCGATGCCCGGGGCAGTATCGTTAGAAGCCACCGTGGATTGTGGTTAGACAGTGCCGGGGGGCAGGATGGGTAAAAGAGAGTCCCGCAGATTCCCAGACAATTTTTTAAACTGTCAAGAACTGAGCCAAGGTGGTCACGTGTTAATGAAAAATCTATGCTTAAAAAAAAAAAAAAAAAGGCCTTTTGGATTAACTTAATTTGAACATGTACTGTACATCAGTTGCACGTGATTAAAATGTAGCAAACCTATTATCATTTTCCCATGCTTTCATCAAAACTAAGAACTTTATTACAATGTGGTTGGCCATTGAAAAAACGGATGAACACAAAACAAAACCTGACAGTATGTAGGAAGGCGGAAATTTAGAAATCTGCGGACCGGTATCAGGTCGCGGACACCTGGAGTAGTAAAATAGTTGTTGAAAGAAAACTAATATGATCTAATGGACACAAATTCTAGAATCAGGCCTGGCAGAATAGTTTCACTCCATTCTGCCGGTGTTACAAATGTGCTCCAAAGTTTTCTGGCACCCACGTTTCATTTGCAGAAAGCCTTGACAGAACAAGAGATGTGAGGAACCCCACTAGAACATACTGCATGTCATCCGTGGTAAACCGTTCCTTTGAGCCGCCGGGAGTCAGCAGCCCTGTTCCCACACAGCCAGTCATGATATCGTAATGATAGACCGAGAGACAATTTAGCAAGATATGAATACAGTGGGGAAAAAAAAAAATCTTAAATCCAATGCCATGCCGCACTGCGTTTCGAGCATACGGGACTGCTGTGACCGCCAGGAGTTACCACAGACAGCTAATTAATATTTTGTCTTGTCGTAGTTGAAAAAAATGATGCTGCTGTCTTTTGATTTGTCACATCAGTCTGTTCCACCATGTCTGTAAAGCAGTTCACACTGCAAAGTCCAAAATAGCGTGGATGAAAAACTTTGGTGTGGATAAGCTTGACTGGCCTGCAGTCTTGACTTCAACACATTCGTATACCTTTAGTATGAATTAGAGCGGAAACTGGCAGCCAAGCCTCCTCGCCTAACAAACGTGTGACCCCCCCCACCCCCCCACTCCCCAATGCGTTTCTGTCAACATGGTCCAAAATTCCAATAAACATATTCCTAAACTTTTTAGAAAGCCCATTAGAGCTGAAGTTGTCATCGCGGCAAAAAGCAGGACCAGTGTCATCTTAAATGAATTCATTAAGAATGGCACGTCACTCAACTTCATATTATGCGGGTCAAGGTAGACCGAGAGAGAGAATATTTTTGGCAATGTAGTGAAGATCATATCACAAAGCACTAATTTCATGACTGAATATGCTCTTTAATACAACAGATGGGGAAAAAAAAAAAAACGTATTCAGCAGTGTCAAAAATTGTGTGAAATTGCGTCCTGCTAGATGAGTTCTGGCAGTAAGACTGTGCGCCTCATTGCTTGTCCCCAGTGCGAGCATTACAGAGAGTCGTCAGGCAGTCTCAATACTGATTTAGCAACACCGACACTTCACTCTCTAAACATCTCATTAAGACCAAATATGTCACTCCTGAATTAAATGAAAGCGAAATGCTTTCAAAGCTGCTTTTCGCTTGTGTTAACTGATAAGAGCACTGCTATTCCTTTTTGTCTATTACATGTAACACGAGTACATGTTTTTCAAGAAAAATCCACATTTTTATTCCTATTTGTGCCAAAATGACACATCCTACCCACACCCAAACAGAATCAATTACTTCAGAGTTCACCAGGGTTCGTTTTCAACGTCACAAATGTTCGACATTCGTTCGCCGAACGTTTTCGTGAGTTTTCTTGTTGCAAGGAAATTTTGAAAGTATTCAAAATTCCTGAACGTCTGATGACCTTATGGCAAACATTTGCGACCTTGAATGAACTGACGTATTTTTCTACCTTCACCATCAGTCGGAAATGCTCGCCTCTCAGTGGGATAGGGTCCCTTGCAATATGTTTCACGTTTGCATTTGGTGGAGATCAAAACTTGTATTATGATTTTGGTGAAAGCAGTTCAATGTGGATCATCTGCAGATTCACTGCTTTTTGCCCATCCGAGGGCCTCCTTGCAAAAACGATTTTGGAAAAAAAAACAATGTAAATCTTGTTTACTCTTTGCAACACATCTAAGATCAAAGTTCTGACGTATATCTTCTACATATATCAACTTACCAAGGACGTGCAGGACTATTAAAAACACAGTACAACAAGTTTTCCTACTCAGGAAACTGAGGTATTTTGGGGTTCAGGGGTCACTCCTTAAGACTTTCTATAACTCGGTGGTGGCCTCGGCCATCCATTATGGCATTGTCTGCTGGTCAGGCAGCATCTCGGCCCGGGACAGGAAGAGATTGGAGCGACTAGTCAGGAAGGCTAGTTCTGTCCTGGGCTGCTCCCTCAACACTCTGGAGGAGGTGGGCAACAGCAGGATGCTAGCTAAGCTAAAAGCTATGTTGGACAGTCCCTCCCACCCCCTCCAGCCCACCCTGACAGCACTCGGTAGCTCCTTCAGTCAGAGACTGTTACACCCGCGTTGCAAGACGGAGAGATACCGCCGCTCGTTCCTACCGACTGCTGTCAGGCTGCTGAATAAAAAATGAATAAATAAATATATCATAAAATTATTTAAATGATATGACAACAAATGTGAATAGTACTGTGACTATTGTATTTATATTGCACTTAATTGAACATATTGACCTTATCCATATTTATATTTATATTGCACTTAATTGAACTGTGTTTTCTTTTCTCTTCTTTCTACCCACAATCTTGCTGCTGAAGGCTGTAAATTTCCCCAGTGTGGGACAAATAAAGGATATCTTATCTTATCTTATCTTATATAAGGCAAAAGAAACCGCCAGTGAAAAGAATTATTTCAATTTTCATTTTTATTTGAAACGCAACATATGTACCCAAGTCAAGTGTGTTAAGCGCTGGGTAAGTAGTGTTAAAATTGTATTTCATGGCTGATTCTGAAGTAGGTGAAAGGTAGAGACAAGCTCTGCTGGTCCTACAGAAAGCTGTTGTCACGCAGCTGTTGCTGTTTTGATCAGAACGTAAACACCTTGAGAGATGAGACTGCACATAGGGAAAAAAAAAGTCAATGAAAGTGAGTACAGGAGGACAGTGTATGTGAGAGTCTGCATTTGGAAAAAAAGGTTTCGCACTAGAACCATTCCACAAAGCAACCCAGTGACTTGCCTCCGTGACTGCTTCAGCACCTCCCGCCTGCTGCTCGGAGAGATTAAAAGCTGAGCCTGTTTTGTAGTCTTTTGGGATCTGACTGAGGTCTTACTCATGACGAGGTCAGTCACTGCCATCAGCTCTTCTTGCTATTCTCAGCAGTGCACTGAGCTCACCAGTCACAGAACTGATATGTGCATGAAATAGATGTGCGGCACTTTCTCGGATGTCTGGAAAGACAGAGGGGGAACAGGCTCAACAGGATGCCTTTTACGGTTTAGAGATCAGTCGTGATGTTTTTCGCGACTACTTTACTTTTTAAATTATTGTTACTATTGTGTGTTGTACGACTGAAAATTAGGGCTCTTTATTTGCGAGAGCTGGTGTATCCTGATTTCCGTGCTGACGTAAGCCTCGAGACGGCTTCACACAGACACGTACGATGTGGGATGAAGGCAGTCTCCAAGTGCCCTTTTCACAGATCTGTGAGCTCCCTGGCCAGCTTTGAATCATGCGCCCTTGGAGGTCTGCTTGCAGTTCCTTATAAATGTGCCTCGACCTGCCGCAGGGCATGAGCATATCAGTGATCGGGAAAATCAGTCAGTATCTGGTGTGACTGGCATTGGCCTCCCACAATAAAACATACTGCATGTCCTTTCACATCAAGTTGATCAGGTTGTTGATTGTTGCCTGTGGAATGTGGGTCAACTCCTCTTCATCAATGGCTGTAGGAAGTTGCGGGACATCTTCAGGGATTAAAACACGCCATTGTAGTGTGGATTGCTCGTTGAACAGGATGATTGCCCCGAAAGTGCCCTCTTTCTGGCTGCCTATCTCTCAGTGGCATCTTGTATCAATTTTTGATTAAAAATATAACAACCTCAAATCTCATCCAGGAACCTCAACCAGTAGGCCAACCAAAGCTGGTTTGCCTCAGAATGTGACAATAATTATCCACAGGATGTCGCAGGAAGGACAATTTGCACTCCCCACTCTTTTCACTGCAATAGTATTTCCTGCAAATTCCTGACAGTAAATAAAGCGTCAATATAAGCAGGGGGGCACATGAAAATTTTACTCTAGTTCTCCGAGATTTTCGGTCATGAAGCGACTGTCAAGAAAGTTAAGTTTGACATCACATCATGTAACTCCTA